AGTTTTGAAAACAGCAATCCTTTTGATGCCTGTATTTTTCATAAGCTAAAAAGGTATCGGAAACCTGAATCACTTAAATTTCTTAATCTTAAGGACGAACCAAAATATAATTCTTCTAGCAGAACCCAACAACGGATTTCAATTTTTTGCCAAAGAAACTTCTTTTTTTGTACTTAGCTATTTAAAAACGGTAGAGCTGAGGATTGACCACAACTGTACCTAAATCTTCAGACAAACGGCGACTTCCTCTAGCAACTTTTGTGAATTGGTATGTAGTTGGTGGATCTGTGACCGCTAGGGTAAAGGTGGCACTGAGTGTCCATGCAACCTAATCCGTGAATTAGTGAGCTGTCGTCCAGCCTAATAATGGCTCAAAATGCCGAAAGGCAGGGCCGACTCAAAACTGGAGAAAGTTGGATGTGTTTGAACCTGTCACTGCAATGGCAATTCAGGCTGTGCTCAACTTGGCTCCTGGGCTATTTTTAGCGGCCCATTAAATTAGTCACATGACCACCACGGAGCCTACACGTTCAGGTCAAGCTGCGCCGTGGAGTGTTTGTGCGCCGGCCCCCTTGAAAGCCTGACCAGCCGCACCCGCCCTGTTAACAAATGACCAAATTAGCGCAAGCAGAATTCCACGCAAATTCATTGAAAATACTGGTTTAAGTTGCAGCAGTGTATACTAGTAATGGCTTTTAAAATCAAAGTATGGGATTCTCCTTTATAATTAACGGAAAATCCCAAGTTAAGAATACAATGGCTGAAAAACAGACCTTACGGCTCCAATCGGCTTATTTTATTAACATTCGTTTGCTAACCACGTTGATGAGGATTGTCAAAAGCATCAAGGCGATTTCGCTTTCTGGACCGTCCAAAAAGCTCACGCACAAGTTAAATTATGCACGCAAAGGGGAATTTTGGGGCATAAAAGCATTCTAGAGGCTTGAGGAGCCATACTTATGGTCTGAAAAATAAAGTACTCCTGCATGATCCAGCTTATTAAAAGTAAATTCATTAACCTGCCCTCCGCGGGGGCGTTTCTATTAAGGTGGTGAATTTCCTGCCACCGAACCAGCATATTAACTACAAGAACAGCGTACAGTAACACCAACAACAGGAACAATCCCGAACCGGCCTGCTTAGTGGTGTCGTCTGCTGATCATACTGGAAGTATAATGTGTCCGTCGCCCCATTTTAAGGGCGGTTTTAGTGTGGATTTAATCGTATGGCCCTATGTGCAGCACTGGTCGATTTTGGTTGTGCACATGGTCACAGGGGCGACGGACCAGTGCCTCGTTTATGACAGACCACTGTACGATTCACTGCTAACACTTCTGTCACTAATTGGCATCCCCTGGCGACACTAGTTAGTTGCCCCAAATTTATGTAGTAGCGAAGAGATATGAGCAATTGAATAAACCTTGAATTGCATTCTGCAAGATCAGCATCGCTGCAACAGACGTAACACAATAAGGCAACGCCGTGCTTTGTACAAAATAATACAAGGTTCTGATTTAGACAGTAACCATTGCAGACACCTCTAGGGTTTAATACAAGTTAGTTGAATAAAAAAAGTGAAACGGCGGCAGAATAGTCACATGGCCATTTTCTCAAATTCCGTGAGATGACACCAACAAACGACCCGAGAAACTCAATGTTGAAGTTTAACGCCTCGCTGGACCTGCACAAATAACCGAAATTCATTATCAGGCAGACTGAATTGACGTGGAGCACTAATTCAGCCGTTTTATTAGGCCCCCCAAACATCTGGGTGGAATTCTCAGACCCCTTATTTACTTTGCCATTTTAAATCAATAACCCAGAAATAAACTTGTGGGTTTCACACACTCAGGCGAGTGACAGACTTGGGGACTAGAGGTATTGATTAATTTTTATTTATTATACTTTGTGACTGAATATAATAAAGTCAATTTCATGCTGCTTTAATTACACGCCAAACTCCCACAAAAGGAGAAATGCAGCTGCCGACAAATACCAGTGAGCACTGCTTATCCGAAAAGCGATTGAAAAGTTTCCAAAACCAAAAACAGGCTTCTGCAAACGGGTAACAAAAACCACGACTTTCTTCAAGACACCACAGAGTACACAGCGAAATCATGAAGCCAGACATCACCTAGAACGCCGCAAACCACGCAGCTCAGTCGCACGTCAAAGTTGTGCCGTGAACTCACAGGCACATGAACGCGCGCCTGAAACGGCGCGTGAGGTCATATCTGATCAACTGTTAGCCAAGACCGTTCATTCAGGAACATGCTAAAACACAATCAACCAATTAGGAGGCGTCCACGGCTCGCTCGTTGGCGCGTACGCACGCATTCGCTTAAGCTTGGCATCAGGAGCGTGGGCTAGACAGGCCGAAAACGGGTCCTCTCGGTTGTGTACGAGTGCCCGCGCCCGGGCCTCCATTTGTTCGCGCTGCAAGCCATCACTTCGTGACCTTGAGCCTCTCGCGTCACACGATTGTTCAAACGGCGCATGGAAATCAGTTTCTGGACTGCCGTTGGTGTCTAGCGTCGGTAAAACCTCAGTCAGATGTGAGTTTATTTTTGTTGCTTTGGTCGCTTTTTTATTCGTTAGGACTCTCGTTTTTGTAACACAGGACACTAAGCGAGTTAATTGCCTTCCCGAAAAAAAGCATAGTTTTTGTTTAGCCTCGTTTAAATATCAAGAAACGATACGAGTGGCCTTGTTTCTATTAGTAAAATGTCTCTCGGTCATTCGCCGTTAATTACCTTCTTAAATTACTGGTAATCCAAGGTAGCTGTTAAGGTGGTATATGTGGGCCCGTCCAAGATCTAATACGATTTGTGGTAGCTCCATGTAGCCAAGTGTTACTACTACCTGGTTCTTATATTGCTATGATTAAATATCGGCGTATTCAAACTCAAGTATTTGTTCTCGTTGCCAAATAGCTGTTGATTGTCCACTTGTTGAATCATAAACGGCTGTTGTTCTGTGATAAGTGTGTGACGTTTCGCTGTTTTGTTTGCATCTATTTATTATTCAATTTTTTTAGTCTTGATGACGTGTCGCTCAGTTTACGCTTGCCAATTTAACTCGTTTGGTTTATACATAGCATGACAATTACGCTTAGGATTTGCGATTTTGGGGCTTACCTTCTGAAGTTCAGCACGCGCAGCTGCTGGAGGACGCCTATGGAGGAAGACTATTGTTTTGATTAGGTTTTAATCGAAGACTGCTAATGTGAACTGCCTGGGCAGGTGCTGCAACATTCCGGATCAAGCGATTTACTTGGATTTGGTATCGCAGCAAACTAGTTAATCGGCATAATCTGTTACTAAAGCTTTGGTACATGCGGTCATGAATCCAAAATCGGCTTTGATTCACATGGTTAACCATTTTAGGCTTAATCGGGATCTTTCACTGTCTATGGCTTTTTTGATCAGTTTGATCACTAGATTAACGATTATGGAAAATCACGACTTCATGACATGGCAATAAGTTGTAATTTTATTTACTTGGTCATAAAAGCCAATCAGTTGGACCTTGCATTCACGCCACTTGACGAAATGGTCGATATTGGGTAACACGACTCAACGCGATCGATAAATTGCGCGCTTGCACATGCGGCGAGAAACGCACTTCGATACTCCTGCATAGACGTTCAATGTCCTCTGGTCTGAAGTCACATAGGCCTCCGGCTAATAATCCGCGTACATTCATGAACTAAACTTGGGTTGTCAGATCTGTAATGCTTTATTAACTTCTGTAGCAGGAACCTGTGCCCATCTGTTTTGTTTATTTATGGCGCTGAATAATGCGTGCAGACTAATGTAGGCGCGACTTTTGCTAGGGTCAAGTGCCGTTGTATACATTTATTGACTAGCAAATCTGGTGATAGTGATTAGTCACGGCGCAATTGGGTTTAATTGGTTAACTTCACCGACTCCCATGCCTTTTTATTCAAAACGTATTCTACTGGTGAGTCTTGTCATCAAATTCATTACTCCTGTCTTGTTTTCTGGGCCGGTCTTTGAATTATTTGTTATATGTCGCCATTGCCATTTAACTTTACACATTTCACCGAGTATAAACTTCGTGGTGCAATTATGTAACACTGGATTTAGGGAGTTTGTGGACGCTTTTCTACAAGGCCACAGCTATCAACTTGAATGGCAGGGTCTCGTCCGTTTCGATTCACTTCGTGCAGCCGAAATCAAGGGGTCTGAAGCCATGTTAATGTTCGTAATTAATCACAGCCATGATGCTGTTTCAGTGGATTGGTTTAGTTAAAATCCAGCTCGTCTTATGCAATATGTTGATCCGACTAAATTGTCACAATACAACCTACTTCTTACACTCTGAACAGCAGAATTCCAGAACGTAATTCTAGTATCGAAACCCTATCTGCCAATCTTGATATAACACTTCATTTTAATCAGAGATCTGCGAATTTATGCAAAACGGTCTAACACAGTTCGTGATGGACACATTCAGATTCATCCCTTCCTGAATTATTGGATTAACAGTTAAGGTAGCCCTTTCAGACAGGTGAATCCACTGGCAACAGCCACACTTGTGCTTGTCCGTAAAACGTGCTGCTAAATTCAATGTCACGAAAGAAACCAGTCAAAAAAATTATTACAAAGCTGTTAGTACCTCATTAAATGTGGTTCACGCTAAACCCCGCAATTCGGGTTCTAGCTTGTAGCTCCACGCCAAAATCTGACAGTAATGTGGGGTGACCTCGTCATTTCATCTGTGTTTTGACTAATGTTTACAGCAAAACAATTAGTCATTGTGGTCTACCTCTACTTAATCACGAAAAGGTTATCGTTAAAACAAGCTTGCCTCCGCTATCTCAGACAGGGATAGTCGTTCTACAGTCACTACATTTGTTGTGCATTTATTATTGGTGATGTTCCCATGTCCCTCCCCATCCGCTTCACAAATTTCTGAACAAAGGAAAATTTTCATTTGTTTCGTTTTCTACAGACACGGGACACGTAAAGGCAAACATGCAGTTTAAACTCGTTTTTCCCTTCTGTCAAGCTCTCCTAGCGTGCAAAATGAGTCCACCCGACAAGATTTGTTTGGTGGCATTTTTGTCTTTTCCATCGGGTACGACAACCAACGGCCACATCATCATTAACATGGCTGCCATTATGCCTAATCTACGAACGACATTGGATTCGCTTATCCATACCTATGTTCGGCTTGTGCGTCAGTTAGCTGACCTTTCCTTTTGGGCGGTTGTCATTCCACGGTACCTTTCGAACCTCCTTCTTTGTGTGCTTGTTCGCTAGTCTTCGGTGTCATGTGGCCGTCATCTCGTTGGCGAACGGCCAGCCACATGAATTTTTCCTGTGGAATGTTGGATTTTCTCACTTCATTGCCTTGCACTGCGTGATTGTTTCTGTACTCCCGTAATAAGGATTGGTAACCCCCGAAAAATTATTCCTTTTTAGGTTTCACGGTAACCGAGGGCCCAATGTTGCTATGGGTCCCTTAGGTGGGTATCTTCCATCTACTCAATCGCAACCTTTGTACGCTCCACTGCCTCCTCCACCTCCACCTCCGTCTCTACCTTCCATGCAAACACAATCCGCTGTTGTGCCTTTGGGCGCGCAACCCCCTCCGAAAGCCTATCCGGGTCTTGAAATACCACTTAAGTCCTCTCAGCTATCTCCCAATACAACAACGTATCAACAGGCAACTTGCACACTTCCTCCAGTTCCTGTCACAGCAGCTTCTGCCATTCCGAATTCAGCCGTATCACTGGCAGCCCTGGCAACTGCCGTGGCGGCAAGCAATGTTCCTGTGAGAGACTCGACGTGGTTGAAAATGCGTGTCTGTTCAGCCTTCCTCAAGGAAGTGATGATGGGAGGAAACATTCCAGAGAAAGAGAAGTGTCCCTTCACCTCTGAGAGCTGCCCTCTTGCTCATCCTCAACCTAATGTTAGGATTGAAAATGAACATGTGACGGTGTGCTTCGATTACATAAAGGTAAGGTGACTTCAAACTTGAGTCGGATGTTTGGACGTGATAACTATTTTTAAGACAAATGTTCTATTTAATTTAAAAAAAAAAACGCACCGTCTAGTTTGCCCTTTGACGTTTTCAGACCGTCCTGATAACTTTATTAATAAAACCTTAAATTTCGTTGTTTTGCACTACATAGTAAGTAAAAAAAATATTTTTTTAAAGCGCTTTTGGGTGAAGAAAAGCCTGAAATGAATTTCACCAGTTTCAATGCTTTGGCGGAATAAGTCCGGACTAATTTCGTTAGAATTCGGCTAAAGGCCAATGGAATTGTGTCTGCTGAAACACCGTTTTGTAAGCGTTCTGTTCGCAATCGTCGTCAAAATTTGCTTGATTTCGAAGGCATCTTACCGCTGCAGTAAAATGGTTTATTTACAGTTTGGCTCGCTACCAGCGGCATCCCTTATGCGGCTAATTGAATTACAAATGCTGTGACAGGCAAATGCGCGGAAGCAAGCAACTTGCGGCGCGCCAAAACGCCGTTGCGTCGTGTGTGTCTTCGGCTGAGCTCCGCTCACCCAACCTTCGACCAGTTATTGATTGAATGGGTTCCAAGGAACTTCAGCTTAGTTTATCCAATTGATTCCGGGTCTGATTCCTTCGTGCCGGCATAGCGGGTGTTTTTCATGTGTTGCATGCTCTCCGTTTGTCCATTCATGGGGAAAGGATGGGGTTACGCGATGCAGTCCCCCTCTTTTGTCATGCAGGTTATTTTACGTAAAACAACCTCATTTTAAAGGTTGTGTATTTTGTGCATTTCAATAGAGCCGCATTTTTGATTTTGCTTCTTTGGGGCCCAATGTGCCGTATGCTTACGAATTCTTATTTCGAGCGACTTATGCGATTACGGTTTTAGGTACTCGATCACTTAATTTTGGTTATCTTTTGACTTGTTTATCTCTGAATGTCAAAGCAAGTAAACCAGCTGTGGCGTGGGATTTATTTTAAACTTATGAAGCCATTAAGCACTTCCATGTTAGCCGCAACACAACGTAGTATCGCGGGGCGTAAATAATACTGCAGTTCGGGCGTATTTGGAAGGACGACCCAATTGAGTCGCCCCAATTTGGAATCGATTCATATTGGCTACTAATTAAATTGAAGTAGCTTGTGTTGTCATTGTTCGGTTCCATTTGGAATGGTTAATCTGTTTTAGATGAAACAACTTCCAGTACGTAACGAATGTGGACCCCACTTGCATTAACTTGTTGCGGCAATATGTATTGCCAAAACTCCTTGTTCAAATTAAAAGTAGGTTGTGTCACGGAAACCATTGGCGTTGGGATCTTCAGGATGTTCCACTGCTCATTTTTGTTTGAACCTCTCGGCGGACCCTGTCTCATTCACAGAAGCTACTCTGCCTGATGCATTTCTCGCCGTCAAAAATACCAGCTTGTGTTCATTTTTTCCTGTACGTCGTCCGCCAATGGTCTGAGAAATGGTTTAACTGCCCAATCCACTGTTCCTCTGTGTTTGGAGGCAGATCGACAAGCAGCCAATCACTAAACCATACCTTTATTCGTCGTAAAAATAAGCACAATTAGAGGACGCTATGAATTTCCTTTTCTTTGCGTGTTATTCCAGTATTCATAATCGTAATGTAAAATAGGATTTTTTTTAAAACGAGGTGACCAAGGCTTTGTTCGTGGTGTTAATTCCATCAAATTAATGTATCTAAGAAATATTCGTAGTTATTTGGAAGAATAATTCCGTAGTTTCACATAAGCAAGCTTTGCAACCATTTAATGACAGCAATTTAAATAGCTTGGAGGTTGCATTGTTGTGCTGGGGTCGACTTAGCATGATCAGTTGATCGTAACTAAATTATCTTAATGCAGCAGAAGTAGACAGAAACCGAAAGGTGCACACACCAATCGAGTTCGCTTTTTTCACTTTTTTTGCAACGTGTGAGGGCATATTTCACACGCCTCAGCTTCGATTCCTCATTACTGCTTTTGCCAATTGCATGTTATCATGATGTGTTTAATTGTGACTATGAACAGACAGAGTTCTGTTTGCCTTAATTCGGTTTAGCGTTGCAACTAACATGACTTTACATGTTGACCCCGAAACATTGTTTTTGTGACAATTGAGTGACATCCTATAAGTTCATCGGATGGATTTGCTTTTTTCAAAACTCAACGTGGTCTAATGATAATTAACAAAAGATGTCGAATTCAGTACTTTTCTTGGTGTCGTTTTCTGGTGTTCATATCGCGTCTGAGTTCGTCGGGGGGATTAACGCGTCGGATGGTTTCAGCGTAAGTCAATACTGTCGGTATTCATCTTTTAGCGAAACGAGTGTCGTCACACTAATTGCAAGTACTTTCATCCGCCGAAGCACCAAACAGAAGCGGTTCTGAAGCGTGGCGATATTACGAAAAAAAATTCTGCGTCTCATGGTTCACATTCAGCGACAGTGAGTGCTCCCTTTTTATTATCCAAGTTGCATTTTAATCTGCCTCCTGATAAACTTGTACACTTTGGATTCAGGTAAACATGGGATGATAATTTTTTCCGAAGAATTTCCAGTGACTATGTTTAGTCCCCTTCCTCAAAACGTGCCTATCACATTTTCTCTTTATTTCGAGCATTGAGTAATGTTATTCTAGTAATGTCCACAAGGTTTACCTGCTTTTATCTCAAGATGGATCCTGCACGGTAAAAGCCTCGATATACTCGGGTTTGTTTGAAAAATTAACCTCCATTGTTCTTTATTGGAAGAAAGTCAATTTTTCACATTTAAATTTGTTAAAAAACCGTATTGGCCGCAATTAATATAAACTGGTGCCGTCCACTTGTTTTTTGTGTTCAGTAAACAGTTACACATAACCCTATGGGTCCTACCATTATCAGGGAGGATCGGTCACTATCCTCATTTGTATATGCAACTGCCCACTTCAGAGTGGACTTTTTAAGAATTTTATCCCTAAACAATGATTCTGTGTACAAAGATATCTGTTTGGACGATGGGGGCAGGTTTGTATACTGTTTTACATAATTCAATGAAATATCTAAAACCAAATCAAAGCCACTGGAATCTGAAAATTATTGCTTCATGTCGCGTTGGGTTCGTAAGCTTGTCCAAGGTTGCATGCTTTTATCGAGGAGTTTTACATTTGATAAAGGTTTTAAAAGAGATAAGGGATATTCTACGGCGCCTTACTTGACGAGACATTTCGATGTTCGTTGATGTAAACTGCATTGCCTCCACACTGCGTTTGCAAACTGGCTGGAGCGGGATTGGCTTTCCTGTGTTGTGGCAACAAACATCGCATATTCCTTTCTTGCACCCAACACGTCATGGGATTCTAGTGGCTCTCCCGAATACATCAACAACAGAAGGGGCCTGAAACCTTAGCCCCCTTTCTTGCGGTGCTTGCGAGTGCACGCGTGAACAGGGAAGGCGTGGGTGCCATCGGCCGTGTGCACAGGCCTCTACATATCGACCTAGGTAAAGCGCGCGCAGCGCGTGCACACCGCGCTGCATGCCTTCCACCAATTAGTCTCCACGCGAGCCTGAGTGCTGTCGCATATAAACAAGCGTGCACACAAACCGCAATCTAGTTTTTGTTTCTGAATGCAACCACAGACGTCTCTGGCGGGCCTGTATTGGCCTGGTGCCACTGCTCAGTCTCCCCTCATGTTGAATCCGGCGGCACAGGCGAACCCTGCTGCGGCCATTGCCATGTACGCGGCGATGCGAGGAGCCACACCCACGAGTGGCTTTTACCCCGCCATGGCGCCGGCTACTTCGATTTACTCCGCCGTACCTGATCCCACAAGCCTGGCATCTCTTGTTGCTGGGTTCTATCAATTGCCAACGTCTACGGCCACAGTTCCAACAAGTGTGTACAATCCTGTTGACGTGAGTTTCTTTCCCATTTGCCGAACTTTTCACATTACCCATGCATCAAGCCTATTCTTGGGTACATGTTTATTATGCAATGAATTATTTTTTTACAAAATGACATTACTTTAATACGTATTTCAAATGTCTCTTCAGTTGTCGAGCTTACGACTTTAATCTCATTAGTTTAGCATGTCACCATCAGTACCTAGCGGAGTAGTCATCGTCAATGTCGTAAGTGGCATTGGGACGACATCGCCATCGTTAATTCTCACAACTCTACATTTCTGTCACAACATTCCGACGGAATAATCTTGGTGCTGTTAAACTATTATATTATCCTCATGTAGTATCCATTTATGAATACGTTCTAATGGAACGAAAATGGAAAGATAAAGGTACATATTAGTTTTGGTCCAGTGAACCAAACAAAATTAATTTGATACTTACCTGTAGTTATTAAATCTCCAACTTCTCTTCGTAACTGTACTTGGAAACAAGTAGGTTGATCAGACTTATAATCCTCTTCCCCTATTTGCTTATTCCTTTCCATCACAGGGCGATTTTTGTCGCCCGTCGCAATATTTTGCGGTCTGGTCTTTACCATCGAGTCGTAAATATATACAACGACACTACGGCGATTAATTGTGACAGTCTTGTTACGTTTTTTACCGTCAATAGGTAAAACTTTTATACGGTCCTGTTGAAACCTGTTTGCCTGTAATTCGATTCGTCATCACGCCTTATTCGACAATTATCTGATGAGTTTTAGAAACTTTTCTCAACAGAGAATCTGCAATATTTAAGCATCAAGTGGGCTTAATAAGTAATAAGTGTGAGCCTGGTCCACATTTCATAAATCTCCAACTACTTCACTAATACTTGACCCAGAAGTCGATAGGGTAGACAGGCTCTTCAATAACTCCCTGCTCCTCCCCTCCTATTAAATAGGCCCTACTGCTAATGCCATCCTGAACTCGGGACGTACACTGGGTAAGTTCATTTCTCAACACGCCCACATCCTCAAAAAGGTTGCTGCGTCACCTTTTTCATACACTCATAGCCTCAAAGTCTAGTCGCAGCAGCTGCAGCATAATCCGTACATTTCTACATAACGCCTGTATTTGCCTGTTGTCAGCGGCTCCTATATGTGCGTGTAACTTGTTGTTTCTCGTATTTGCGTCGCTGTCAATACACTTCCTTGCTTCAATTATTGTCTTCGTCGTTGTCGACAACCTACGTGCCACCCAGTTGGGGTTTGTCGTGCTCACCCGATTAATTAAGTATGATTCTATGTTTTTGTAAATTTAATGAGAACTGTCACCAAAATTCACATTTATTGGTCGGTATTTTGATCGCATAACGGTCAAGCATACTAGTTGTTTCCTATTCTTTGATTCACCTAAACACACTGCAAGTTATAGGACCTTTCCAGTGACGCATTGTCACTTTTCAATGACCCTATCCACAAGAAATCCGGATGATTAAGTTACCGTAAGCATAGTTCGGATTTAAAACTGGAGCTCAGACAAACTGTGGTGAGGTAATGTAGACATTTTTCACTGCGCTAGATGCGGATCTCAAGAAGACCACTGAACTATTATGACCAAGCTGTCATTTGTCATAGGGGTCACCTTTTCAAACCGAGGCATTCCAATTCCTTGACCTTGGATAGCCTACATGTACCGATTTTGCACATTAAACTAGACGCTGCATATTAAGTTAAATATTAATGTGAAAGTTTGATATATGTTGACTAAATTCATTCAGTCAAATGAGGAAGCTTATTTACGACAGCAATGTAGATGACCGAGGACTTAGTCACGTCGATTTAGAAACGAACTAGTCTTGTTTGTCAAACGCCGCTATTGGCACCAGACCTCAACGAATGTAGACGGGTAGAAGTTAACACAAACATAAATGTGACTGTTTTGCGTCACAGACACAAGCAACTAGAACGTGTGCAAATCGGAACTAGGTTTAAATTAATTTGACTTGTGGCGTTCGTGCTGACACCCTCTGCCTTCGGTGGTTTTATTTTGCACCCGAATTGTTTATTAAACAACGAATCCGTACCTGTAGGTTTGCATGCTGGATTCGATTGTTTGTTGCTAGTGCGCGAATTCTTGTCTTGTGTTCACAGCTTATTTGCTGAACGAATTTTAGCCGTATATACACGCGCATCTAGCGGGTGAAATCGTATGTTCAAATGTAAGATTGCTAAACAAATAAGGCTGATAGCATTATTTAACAGCCCCAGACGGTTGCCTTTTCCAAAGGAAGTTCATGCCATTTCGATGGCGTTTTTTCACTTAAAGCGACGCAAGATCTACACTCCAGTTCGCACTTTTAATTAAACGGTGTTTTAGTCCAAGTTAATGTATTTAAACGTTTTTAGTTTGCTCGTTTGAGGCTTCTAAGAAAATGTCGGGTTTAAGATGATCACAGCTGTCGATTGTTTTTTAAAGACGCCAAGCTTTATGCTCTCTCACTGCATGTTAAGCAAGGCTGCCACAAAAGTTTTCTTGGATACTCTAATTTACCTGTTTCAGTATCCTGATAATTTTTTTATTGATTTCTAACCTCAACTGCTTTCTAAATATACAAACATGTCGGAGACCTACGTCACTGGTGGTGTCTTATTACCAACGTGTACATCTCTTTGGTTTGTGTTTTAACTGCCGATGCTGCTGCATGCGTTTCTAGATCTTACCGCACCCGTGTTTAGCTGACGGAATTTGGCTTCGCATGGCTAGCTAATTTGGTTTGTCCCACAATAATACAACTGCCAGTGGCTAGCTTTCCTCTTACTACAGTGTTGTGTGCTCTATGGACTGCTGTCACTTCTACTGGTTCTGGCAGTTTTTCTAATCCCCTCTATGTGGTCCATAACCCTAGGATTCATTGAGCTTGCTACACTTTAATTGCCCTCCTTTGTTTGTGTTGTTGTTTTGGTGCAGTTCTTGGTACGCGTTCTAGTTACTGTACGTTTACTGAAAAACCGCAAACCCCAGCATTAGATATTCTGTAATCTCAGCGATACTTAATTCGATTACTGCTGTGTGCTGTCAAAATAGGGCGTAGTTGTGTTTCCTGAATAAATCAACTTGAAATTCACAACTGTTCACTGCTTATATTTAGCTCAGGATAAGCCATCCGTACACACAATGAAGTATTACACATCGTTTTTTTGCATCTGTTGGGTGTTATCCCAACGCCTCCAAATTCGAAACCACGGGAAGAGTAAACACAGATTTTCTGGTTGTATCGACTTAACCATTCTAGATTAATGTTTATCAATTTCTAAATGATTAAACTGAGGCAATATCTAACTGCAGTGTTTTTGTGTGCACGCGACGGAACTGGTACTGCTTGATGAAATAATTAGACTTGATAGAATATCGGGTAACTCTGCTCTTTTATTGATCCGAAACTTGACAATTACAAGAATTTACATAGGGCATGTACCAAGAACTTGTTTTGTCTTTATTGTGGGCCCAGGCTGTATTTTTAGTGGTTTTTGGGTAGCAGAGAATTACCCCCACTTTGATTGCGTTTGTTTCCCTTTGCACACTAGTTATCCAGCAGCTAAGCGCACTCTAACTCAGTATTGATCTTCCCCCAGCAATGAAAGCCCCTAATTTTCTATCGTAGGTAAATTGCTTCACTCTCACAATTGGAGGGCAGCCTAATACTGCACTGGAAGTGAAAAATATGTTATAATTTTCGGCTCCACATATTTGTCCCCCTTCCTTCTACGCCTTTGAAGGTTGGAGATTTATTAGTTCCGCAGTAAATACAGAAGGTAGTGCAGCGCAACTTTGAACATTAAGACAAACTGCTATGTGAAAAGATTTGCCACTTCTCGACCGTCCAACTGGCATCCTTTGATCGGAAACATGGTGCATATGACTTGTTGCATGTTTTTTAAGTTAGGCTACTTGGTAGTTCCTGTTTTGCGCACCCACATTTTCGCCCTTCTAGCGGTTGCATTGTGTTCGCGTTTACGCAGCTCCTTCATGCACCGATCTAATGCGTGAAATTCTGTCTTTATTTCAAACGATTGTATCTAGAACACGCCAATCAGTCCATTGTTAAACGGTGCAACGATAGGTCCAAATTTATGCAACGAGGTTTTGTACTCATATTTTTGACCTGAATCCGGACAAATTGTGATAGATCGGCAGGTAGGTAACTGGCTCTCAAGAAAAGGGACGTAACCATTTATTCTGGTTGAGTCTATTGTTGAGGCAGATGCTGATACGGATGGGATGCTGCTGAATGGCATTGGAAGCACAGCTCCAGTTTGGTGCGTCAACGCGCGCATGATTTTCACCGCACACACCGCCGCAGCCGTTCGCCTAAAATCACCCGCGCTATTACTACTACTTGCTCGGCTATGTACTTAGTTAATGATAATACTTGCGTTTCTGCTCATTATACATATCCTTCACCGAAGTTGCCTCATAAATCCTTTCTCAATTTACCCAAATCCCATGCCCATTGGCACTTTCCTCTCCTACTACCTTTGTTCTCTTGGCTCCTGCAAACTTTCCCATTGATACTCTTTCTTGTCACATGTAAGTGTCCTCCATCTTGTTCCATCCACTATCTTACTATACACGTGCGCGCCCGCGTAGTTTTGTGAGTGCGTGCACATGCGGCTTCTACCATTTGCTATAGCTGTGTCGCTCGCCCCACCCAACATTCGGTCTATATTAATTTCTCATTAACTCTCAACCCCTTTGGCTCTAACGGCTATTTTAGTTGTTGTCTGGTCCATCGGCGGCGCTATTCACTCCCGGTGGCGTGAGTCCTGCGGCCTATGCTGCTGCCGTGGCCGCGGTTAACGCAACTCGCCAAGCTGCCATGGCTCCTCCCACACCCTCAGTTTCCGTGTCTGTTCCAAGGAATAACGAAGAACTAGCTGCGGGTGCTTTCCCCAGTCGTAAACGGGAGGCTACAGGAGTTGTCGATGTTCAGTCGGTATGTTAACGACTCCCTCTTTTATTGGAGTCAATCTTGGTTTGGAGGCCATGGCGTATTTTCCTACCCCTTCGACCATCTTAGTTGCTGGGGGTTCTGTTATAGTGCCGTGCTGGGTCTCTAAAATTGAACTATGCAAGGAAGATTTGAAGGTCGATTAGGGGTCCCTTCATTAACTCTTGGTGTTTCTCCTTAATCTAGTAAATTTGTTCAGGTGCAACGAGGTGGTAGTGATTTGAGTGGTTACTGTTTTCTCAGTCTGGTTATCTAACACATTAAGCCTAAGCGTTTTTAGAGGGATTCATTTGGAAGTCGATCAGTATCAAGTCAAGATGTCCAGTCCCATTTATATGCGTAGTCTCACTTTTGATTTGTGTAAAAGTCCTAGTGCTGGTCCACGAAAGTTGAAATAGGGCATGTGGTACTTTCTGAATGAAATACGTATGAGCCAATAGGTTTCGAAGGTAACTTGAAATAAGTCTCCCGAGGTTGCATAATGAAAAATTCAGGGTGTGGTCATTTAGTACTGAAGCGTGTCGATTATTGACTTCAAAAATCCTTACTTGCTAGAATGTACCCCCTTCGAAGCGCATCCACTCAGCGGGTGACGATGCTGCAGATACGGCTGCAGCTGTTAGTCATGCAGCATCAGTCGTCAACCAATCTCAGCTAACAAGTTCGCTGGCCTTTAATACTTGGCTCCAGCAGCAGCAACAACAACAGCACCAACTTACGTCTCCCCCTCCCCCTCCCACGGCCACTTCTCCCACCGTCGCACTCCAGGCTGCTGCTCTCATGCGTCTCCAACAGCAACAACAACAGTGGGCGGCCATGACGGCCGGCTATGGAGCGCTCGCCGGGCTCACACCCAATCCTGCTGCTGCGGCCGCCTACTCCACACCCACGGCACTGTTCGATTCCCGTGGGTGGTCTGCCTTGTTTTTCATGCTATGCACATGTCTAATATATACTTGAGACTAGGTGATGTGTGCTAAAGATTCCGATATACCATTCTAGAATGTCAAGTCGCAGACTCACTTTATTTCCAGAATTTTGTCTTACATCGCATTAAAAACAGAGTTAAACGAAAAATGAGTTTAATGGCAACTAGCAGCTCTTAGACGTTCCGTTTTATTTCGCGCTCACTCAGTTCATCAGATTAAGGCGTAAAGTGGGCCCCTAAAGTATTGTTTTCTCCCTTGACCTAAAGGATCGAGTCGAGCACTGGTGATCTCTTGTCATTAAGCTTTCGTTGACGTCGTCGAGTGTTGAGAATTTGCCAGGGGATAATTCATGTCGATATTGTGTCTCCAAATTCACTTGTATTCTGTTTTCAAAATTTGAATTTAATATCCTATCAACAAGACACACTTGGGGCGTTGACAAAGCAAGTTACACACCCTTTTATTCTAGATGTTTGATATCCAATAAGTTTCACAGGGCAATTTTTTAGTTCAGGAAACGGGACAATATGTTAGTTTCTTTTTTTGACGATTGTGTTTGTGATATTTTAAGTACCTGATTTGCAAAATCAGCCTGCAGACTTTACATATTCGACGGCAATGTTTGTCTACATGTAGGAAAATTTTAGGTTCTCCGATCCCGGTAACAAAGTTCTGGTCATATAACAACCCACAACTGCATCAGCACCGACTACATTGAAAAAATCAATGCTGACCAAAATTCATTTCTCAAGTTACCGTATTAATTCTGTGTTGTTTTGTTTAAACACTTTATTTTCTGCCTACTTTTCATGGCTACAACTGGAAACTCATAACAAAAACCCGAAACAGTCTGTCTCTGCTCCACCATGTACCATGCCTAATCGTCTTCCTTGAACTGCACTCAGTCCGGCGAAAATGCTAAAATGAATTTATGTGTTCGCTTAATCAGTATTGACGAACACTCAATTGATACTAGCTTTGGAATGCCGGTTGCTTCTAGGGCTCACGCAAGGTAATTTCTAAAGGGTTCTTGGATTTCCTCTTAAGGTGGGAGTAATCCTTTTCCACCTTTTACAGTGGCTTTTCAATCAGCCGGTTTGAACGCGAACCCATACACCACCAGTCTTCTGCAAAACCAAACCGTGCTGACTAACGTCGCTTACATCAATGATGAAGGACAGGTATGGCTGTATGATTAATTCTCAGAAATTTCCCTGAATTACTCTTTATGCGGATAATGTATACTCGTATTCGGCCTAAAAGAACATGGTTGGTCACAGTTTACAAATTACAATGAAAGGTTATCTTTGTAAAGTTGAATTTTCCTTTAATCCCTATTTATATTTCAGTTATTAATAATAAAAATCAGCAGTATATTAGAATGAGGCTTACAACTGTCGGAGAGCAAAAATGCAACTTTTAACCAACGATACAAACGTGCCGGCCATACAATTTGGCGTTTTTTCAATATGAGAATAAATCTGGGGTTTCGTTTTAAATTGGCAGCTTGATTGACGAGTGTGCGAACCCAGTTTTAAGCAAACGATTTTGAAAACACATTCAATTAACATTTACTAGGTCTTCATGTCAATGACCTCTCTGTATTCGATTGTTGCTCTCCAATCGAGGTTAAACCAGTGTTGGCTGTAACATACTGCCAACATATTTAAATTATCTATTTGTAGTCTTCGAAACGAATCTCTAGTTGTCAAGTGTCTGTATTTTCGATTTTCTACAGAATCTCTTTACAAAGGTAGCCGTCTCTAGTCTAATTACCACAACATGTTCATGGGTCTGGTGAGGATTAAATCCATGTGGCGTTAAGTTGACATTGACAGAGTTAAGAGCACGCACTCATTCTATTCTCCTCATAAAACTTTTATTCCACTGTAGCTTCTTGAAAGTCTTCCCATCTGTCGCGATTTCAAGGCGGGCAAGTGCCACAGGAACACGGATTGTCGATACGTTCATCTCATTGATGGTACGTGGTGATCAAAATCCGAGTTTTCGAAACTCATATAGTAAAAGATCACGCTTCCAAGCAGGCGGCAGTCTTTTAGTCGAATTAACTATATCCAATTTTTTAAGCTCTTTGATTTACTTTTTCGACCATTAAAATCTTGGAAGACAAATTCTCGAGCTTTTATTTAGATTGCACGATTTATATAAGATATTAGCTCATTGTCAATCGTTAATGTAACCTGTAGTAGCGTGGGTTAATTAAGTTAATTTTCCAACCTCCATTCAGTGAAGGCCCCAAAGCACACACACTCATTGTGGGTGCGTTTTTGATTAGCTGGGAAGGGTTCAAATAAAAGATAGGCAAATGCTAAAATGTTGTAATTAAAACGGGCCTTAATGAAAGCATTTGTTAATTTAGGTAGACATACACCTTAATTTTAAATCGATTCTTGAGGCAATAGATTTTCGCTTTGAAGTGTCACATGCAATCCACTAGGAGTCACAATAGGGCCCAAGTTAAGTATGCCTCCCTGTTAACATTTGTGAAAACAAATATTAACTCGAAGGGATTTCAGTACGGGGAAAACTCCTGACATATTATCAGTATTAAATTGAGAAAGGAAAATTGTGTGACTCAGGTAAACCATTTGTATCAATGTTTTGTTTCAGAAAACGTTGAAGTAAACCAGGGTCGGGTGACTGTCTGTCGGGATGCTGCTAAGGGGCGGTGCACGCGAGTTCCCTGCAAATACTATCACATCCCACTTCTGGCCATCTCAGCTAGTCGTTCCTTGGCGTTGAACTCTGCACTCTCAGCTGCTGTGGCTGCGAATACTTTCAGCGCCAACGTCCCCGCCACCACGTCAGCGACTACTACCTCACCGACATCCAACACAGCCGCGAATTGCACACCGGCTTCCTCGTCTTTGTGAAGTTGCCAACTCGTTGGCGGCACCCTCCATGCTGTCACGTTTACTTGAAAAATCACACGCAAACATTTGTAACTTTTTTGTAGTGGATAAAAAGTAGTAGAAAATCACATTATTCTGATTGGTTTGGATGATGTCCCTAATTAGGAGGAAACAAGTCCTTTGTTTCGTAGGGTGAGAGGAATTTAGGATTGTATATTCGATTCGTCAACAACGTGTTTCCGATGATCGTAGTAGGTGTTTGATTCGGTCAAATGCTTCGTGAGCTAATAGTGTGTAGTTCCTGGACATAATGTTCTTCCAAACAATGGAATAGAGCCTGAAAGTGGTGACGCTGCAGTGGGCTTTGAATGGATCAGTTGAACAGTGAAGGTGCTGTGTGTCACGCGTGTTCTGCACTTGGTGTTCTTGGAGGACTATTTCTGAGGCATTCACGTGTCGCGTTTACAGATGCGACCATGAATGGTGGTGGTGGTGGTGGGACAAGTTTCGTCGTTTATTGGGGTTGGGGCATCAGACAGGGAGGCGGGGCTAGGGTGTTGCATAGTCGTGTAGGGTGGCTGATGCAATCACGATGCGTAGTTTCCCAAAGTGTGGTGTTTGGATTATGTCTGGGCGTCGGAAGTGTGTCGCAGTTGGTTTAAAGTGATTCAAAAACTGGATTGCAGAAATGAGAAATGGGGATTGTGAACGAGCCTCTGGTTTGGCGTTTTTGACTTTCACTGGGTTATGGGGTGAAGCATATTGCCCGTTGTAGAAAATACATCCAACATCAAGTCTGCGGTCGTTTATGTCAACTTTGTTTGATGACCATAAAATCGCACAAAGAAGAAAATCGTGAGTAACTCGCGGCTGTCTTGATGTGTCGGTTCTGGTGTTGGTGCATATGCACCAACCACTGCTGACTTGACGTTTCATCTGAACCCAGCAGTGATGAATCGACAGTGAGTGGGCTTCCGACCTACTTGCTCGCCTCTTCTCGTCTCCCGTCATGTGATCGAGCCGAAGCTCTTGGATGCAGTGGTGCACACTACCAGAGAATCATGGTACTTCGACTAGGAGTAAACCTGATGAGCGCTGGCTGTGGGATTGTAATTACACCGTGGGTTGTGTATTGATACCAGGGAAGTGGGACATTTGTGTATTTAGAGGGGAGGTTGAATTGGCAGTCAGAGCTACTTAATTGGGGTTTGTTGGGGTCACGCGCTGGAGGGGACTTAGTGCTGTCTCATATTTGCATATGAGAATGAATGTTACCGGCATACTGGATCACTGTGTTTTTGGATTGCCAGCAAATAACGTTTCCATATGTGTAGAGACTTATGTAGTGGTTTCGATGATTGCAAAAATACATATTTTGCGTTTTGCTATATATCTGTTGCTTTGTGGTAACCGTAAATGATATACCAAATGCTCAAACCCGTATCAGCGATACAGCACTTGCTACAAATGCTGAATACAAGACGAATGATTACATTTATTCAGGCTGCTTGTGCGTTCGAAATCTTTGTAACAGTAATGCATGCCTAATATTTGTGAAAACGCGATATCTTATTTACTTGATACCTTTTGCACCTTTTAAATGGTTTTTTTTAATTTTTATTTCTAATTTTTTTCTTACTTTGTTTAAACGCTTTCGTGATTGCTCCTCTTTTGAGTGTTGTGTTTCGTAGGTTTTTCGTACGTAGCCGAAAGGTTTTGAGGTGTTTTTTTAGCAATTTGTGTTAATAGTTGATTGTTGTTCTGAATTTCAAACTTAGGAATTGTGTTTTTAAATTTAAGTCATTGTGATGGCTACTCCAGGCTCCGAGGGTCAGCCTCAAATCCAAATTGGAACTCCATCCCAAATTCAGCAATCACAGATGCAACCTCAGATGCAACCACAAATTATTGGACAGCCTCTTATCCGCCATGCAATGCCTGTGCAAATGGCTCAGGCTTCGAATGTGGTCCGTATGCAGCCAGCTGGAATTAGGCAGCGCCCTCAAATGGCAAAGCCGGGCCAAATGACAGCTGATCAACCTATTCCTACCTATGTCGGGGGACAGAATCGTGTAAGTTAGGATTATTAGCTTATGGTCGCTGATAACTGATGAAATTGGTGAGTAGTTTCAGGGTAGCTCTAATTGAACCACTGATAATGCACTTTTTAAAACACTCAAAGTTGCTTAATTTATTATTCTCTTGTTCAACTTTAACGTCTTTTCGCCATCAAATGATTAAACATCTTTCAGTCATTAGTGTAGAAGTAAAAAGGTCCTTCTCTTCTGATCTAGTGGCGGGTGTTGACGTTGTAATAAACTTTTCTTTCAAGTAGCTTCGTTGGTGCTTTGATTGGTAACATTAAGTGCCTTTTCCCGAAATAATTAGCATCACTTCGTATCACGTCCTGAGTGGTTGGTGCAGTGTTCCGTATGCACATTCTTCTTCAATTTGTTGTGGCTAACTATCCTTTTCAGATGCCCGCTGGAGGACAAATGCCACAGCAGCTTCATGTGATATCACAAGGTGTGTTTCAATCTCAGCAGCCGCAGCCAACTTATATGACCTCGGATGGGAGTCATACTATGCAGGCCGGAGTAGTTGAGCAACACCGCCCTATTGTCACTAGGTATTATTTGACATCCGCTGCCATAACACACATTTTATTTCTTTTACAGAGAACAGAATTGAAGTTAAGTGAATGCACTCATAATAACATATCTTGACGAATCTTTTTGAAAAACGAACTCCCGATTTCCTATAATTTGTCCTCCGTTTCTTTGTAGCTATGGTCAGCAGGGGAATGTACATTTATCAACTATGCCGATCTTTCAAGTTGGTGCTCCAGGTAATTTTGTATACACGCTGTAGCTTGGTTTCTTTGCTTATATTTGTTTTCCAATTGAGCTTTTATGTTTTTTGACCATCCCAACAATTGCTTATTCTTTTAGGACAGATGAGAAGGCGTCCTGGTAGGGAATTGCTCTGATTTGTCGGTTTCATTACTTTTTGCCTTACCCCCTGTCTCTAAGCACAACGAACCCAACCAGTAATTTCCCCGTGGTGATGATGGGGAGATCTGCTTAGATGCTTTGTGGTGTTAGTAATATCATGCTAGCGCATTCCATGTTTCTATTTTAGTCAAAGTATTAAATTACCTCGGAACTCCGTTGCGTTCTTTTATAAAATTGAATTTTTCATAAGAGCATGGAAAGTATTAGAGAGATTCTGGTTCTAGCACTTCTATGTAGTTCTTCGCTTTAGTTGTGCATGCTCGGTTTTGTAGTTAAAATTGGCTTTGCAAAGCCCGGTTATATTGAAACGTGTTAGAGATGATAGTCGCACACGAAAAGCAAAGTTAATAATTTCTTTGAATTCGATCTAATGCCGGTATTAAAACGTATTAAATGGCGTGGTGTTACTTTGCTTGTCTAAATACTCGGGCTATCTCTTTCATTGCTTTAGCATTTTTTCTATTGTATAATTTGCTCGCTAATCAATCATCAAATGCACAAGCCTTTTTCAGTATTTATGGTAATTCCTATAAAGCATTTGCATTTATTGAGTAGTCGTGATTGCATTGTTATTACTACTTATTATTTTGTTTTTAGTTTAACGTTCAACCTTGTTGTAAATATGCCTTTTAACTTATGATTCCTATTCAATCCGAGATCGACTTCTGGACAAGACCCTCTTAAAAAATATTCAAGTAGTAGAGTCGAGTAACTCAGATATTAAATCACCTAAGTGCCCAGCAACTTAACTCTGCTATGGCTTTTGTGTTTTAGCCGCTTAAACCTTCCGCCCCATTTGCAATGTAATTTAGATGCGATAATTTTGTGTTATTAAATGTCTCTGTATTTACTCATTACTATGTCTTTCTCTGTGTGCACCGCTTTTGCAGTAATCATTCAAGGTTAGTTTCTTATGCTGCTGCTGCTCTAGTCGTTCGCTTCCCACGTTTGCTTAATCGCGCTTCTCAAAACTCCACAATTATATGTGCTATTGCGTTTTTCCATTTTTTTCCAATATTTGATGTTTTTGAGGTTACTTCGAGGATGAGCTTGCAAATTGCCTGATTATTTAGAGGCAGTTCTGAGGTATCCAAAAATATGGCAGTAATGCCTATCGTTATAGCGCTTAGTTGAAACTGTTAGTTGTTTTAAGGTCCGTGAGGAAAACCCTGAGGTGGTAGCTGCCTTGTTCACAGAAATTGTAGTATTTGACAGAGTTGTTTGCTAAATTGCGAACCCATACTCAAGATATGATGTGTGCATCTTTTTATACCTCATGTTGATCACACGTATTTGTGGTTGCATGCTGGGGTGATCACCAATTACCTCCGTATCCTTTTACTAAACAAGTATGTCCTACATAGGCATGTGGCGAAATTGACTTTCATTCGGACTCTTTTTTTTATAGTGAGTATGATCTCACGCTCAGTAAATGTCTAAACACAGGAGTTGAATGTCAGTGAACTACCGTGTCTTGGGTTTTGTTTTGAACATCCTTTTCCCTCAATTTTCGCATGCACAAGTAGACCCCTCCGGTATTGACCCTTGTCCACCGCTGTACGAACGTCTTGCTGTTATTTTGCTTTTACGGGAAACGCTCTTACTTGGCATGTGTACCTGTGCATATCAATTATGTCCAAACTGGCGGTTTATTGCAATGTTGGCGATAATTTGGGCTTTCAAGGCGAAACTCAGCAACTTTAATGCTCCTAACACCTTTGTTTTTTTCGCTCGGACATTGAAAACTAGTGACTCCGGATGCATTCGCAGCTGTTGGCTACTCTTATTAGGAGGCTCCTTTTAATGCTGAGCACGGTTTATGGTTGTTTCACTTTAAGGCGTCCAGCAACCCGTTTACAACGCCACGATGCGTGTCGCTGGAGCTAGTGGCCAGCCGCCAATCTCGACTCCTAATGGACCCATCCGCTTTGTCTCCAATAATGGAGGTGCATCGGTGCGTATTATAAGGCTATGCCTCTACTCCTACTCAAGTACCTAATTTAAGTGTTAACACTTGTCATGGGAACTCGAATTTTGTGTCGCAACACAAGTGTCGTCACACGTGGGGACGACTACCCATGCAGTGCCATCTTCTTGACTCAAATTTCGGTTCTCGAGGTGCTACATGCAGCAATCTGGTTAAATGTGACTTAGAGGACAAAATTTTTATTATCTAACTCTACCTTAATGACAACTGCAGTAGACTAGCCAAGACAGAAATTAGGGCCATTTAATTAAGTTTGATGCAGTGTGGGAGTCCACAGGTGTAATTGGGTTTGAACAATGTTGTTTCACGTCCTCTCAGGTAATGCAATTGGTGACTCAGCAGAACCAAGTGCAGGTTAATCAGCCGCACTTCATTCCGGCAGAAACACAGCCCCGAATGGTGGTGCCGCAGTCCCGTCCAGCCGGTCCTTCTCTGAAGATAATCCCATCTCCACAACAGCCTCCACAAGGTCAGGCGATCAGACCCGCAATGTCCTTGATGCAACAGGGCCAACAGCCCTGTTTGTCAAGTGAGCAGGGTGAATTGCTTGAAGCTTTACAAATGAACAAATCCTACGACATCATGCATTTTCTTATGATGGCAATACTAGACATGCTAGAATGGCGGATAGCTTGAGTTTTAACTAGGGTTAATGCTCTGATGGATCAACTGCTAGAAGCAACTATGCTTCAAGGGATTGCACGAGGTTTATGCGAGCCGCATTGAGTGTATTGTTCATTCGACGGATTAGCCTGGACTAGCTCCTCAGGTTACACGCTTGAGAGTGGGGTAATTTCGACTCCACTGCATCCACGTTGACCAGCGACTTAGTCAAACCCGACTTGTGTTCATCAGCACATTTATTTTGATGAAATACTTCGGTGGATTTCAAAGTCCTTTAGAGTCGTGATAATTTTGTTGAATGTGATTATTAATGCCTTTTTTTCTACCGGGTTTCAGGCGGCGGTTCGCAGGGGCCTCAAGTTCCGGCGACAAGTGCTGTTGGGCCAGCCACACCGGAGCAGCAGCAGCACCAACAACAACAAGTTTATCGCAAATTCACGGAGCGCTACTTACAGGTCGTTGAAAGCGCCATACAGCACGTTCGCCTTAGGCAACCGGATGCCGACCTGAAGTCATACTATAAATTTAAGGCTTTTCTCGAAGAAGTGAGTTTTGAGGTTAATCTCTGCATCATTTGAAGTTACTTATTCGTAGGCGACAGGACAAGGCAGCTAGTTTTCGGCAGTTACTATAAATCAGAAAATTGGGCCTCTGACCACTTTTTCTCTCGAATGGGCGCCACTTTACTTCTATAGATAATCGGAAACTTTCTGTAAATTTATTTGATTAATATCCTGACCCTAATACCACTTGTGCCACTGCAACTTTAAAGTTAACCAGGCGTGGAGCCTGTGATTTTGTATAGACCTTTTTTTCAGTAATCCAATGACTCTGTGCATGTTGGTGGTTAGGATCCATCAATTTTCCCATTGGTTTTGTAGGATAATCTTCCACCACAAAATTTGGGAAAAGTGGATATGCTCATTCGCCAACTTCAGCAAGACCCATTCCACTTGCTTAAAAAGGGCATCTCACAGCAACAACGACAACAGCAGCAGCAGCAGCAGGGCGTTGGCGGTAATGGAGGCGTTTCGGAGGAGACTCGCCAAAAACTGGTTGGTCAGAAGCGAACTATTCAACCTCAGCGCCTCATGCCTGCTGGAATCCGTCCGGCTATGGGTACCTATTTCCTTCCATGTGGTTGTCTTCACCACAACCTCTATCTGATATCCACAAATCCAGTTGTAATGATATGCGCTAATCGTTTTTATGAACCGATATCTCGCACTTTGGAAAAATTATTTTTTTTCTAGCTACCTCATCGAGTCTAAATTCCCTACTATCTCAGCCGGTGGACCCCTTGGGAGCCACACCAGGCCCCTTTCCCGGCCAAATGCCCCAAGCTGCTGCCGCTGCCGCTAGACACATGCAGCAACAACACCAACTCCACCAACAACAGCATCAAAACCGTTTAATGATCACTCAGCAGCAGCAGCAACAGCAACAGCAGCATCAGATGATGGTTTCGGCTGAACAAGTCCACCAATCCCCTGTCGACCCCTTCCAAGCGGCGTTAGATAAACTGGCCGACGATTTCGTGATGCTTGAAAAACAGGTCGGGAAGGAAAGGTTTAATCGAGCTATAAGCGAAGTAATGTTAACAAAGTCTGAATAATTGAACTTTTTTGTTCCAACCTTCATGTATGTAGTGATCATGAGTGTCTTGTTCGGAATTTTTTTTCGGAATTTAATTGCATAAACTCACTGTTGAAGGCGTGCAGTCTCATTTAAATGCAGATGGGGTGCAAAGGTTTGCATAGGAAGAAAATCCCTGATATACTGAACACTGTTATCAGGAACCAAACATGATTGGCTTGCAGGTTAAAGGCCTGGCTGATTTGCTTGCTGTCGACGTTACTTTCCACATTGCCTTCCCTTTATCTTTTTGCCCAGATATCAGATGAAACGCGTTCTTTGCGTGAGTTAACGGGTCATGTACTTCCTCGTGACATTTTCCCCACACCACCCCTTGAAGAGACGAAAGTGGAAAATCCCAGGGCTGAGAGCGAATCTCTTCTTGGTCATAAACGGTCTGGAGACGTCGAGCCCGAAGCGGACAGTGGAGTCAAAAAACACCGAACAATCGATGATCAAGTCGTACGTTTTTTTTTTGAAAAATACAGTCTGCTTACATGTTTAAGTAACATGTATTGATGAACGGAAGAATGGCAGGGTACTAGAGTACTATTAGTTAAATCCCTCTTAATCCTATCCGTACCTTAATTTTAGGATGCCCTCGGCAGCAACGGTGAGTGGATTTCGTTAAACAGCATAAACTGCGAAAAGTACATGCACATTTTTGAACAAAGCTGTCTTGAGTAGGAAGTAAGTTCAAAAAAGCTGCATTAGCTAATCGATGGATCATCCACGTAAAACCTACAGTCCTGGAATCAAGAGAAAACACTACAGTGCGTAATGTGCCTCTAGGCTGATTATCTTGCTTGTTTGGAATTTTATATTTTAACAAGTGTTTACATGAGTTGTTGTGGCTAAAAAATCACTTAAACTGGAACGAGGTAATACCGGACTGAAAGGCGCCTGTGTGGTGCTGCGTCTTGCACCACGGGTCGCAGTTCGTGCATGAAGTAATCTCTGGCGGTGGTGGCGGAAGGTCAGTTCTAGCGAGCTAGTAACTTACCTTACACATATGTGGCTGCGTTTTGGAGGATTTCGTGTTGTTCACTCACACGAACGCGGAGAAACTTCAAAGCATGTTTTAGATAATATTAAAGAAGAAAACGATTATCTACAGGATTATGTTAGGGTTTTTCCGGCGAATTTTCGGTTTAGCTTTTTATTTCCAGAGACGTGTGCACCTGTACATGTTGCACATTATAATCGGAGCATTGCCGAAATCACTTAGCTTTAACATTCAAAAGTCTGCCACGTTTGATGTGTCGTCGAGATGCCGAAATTTTAGCAGACACATTGTTTACTAATTAGATCATTGTGGGACATTTTTTAACGGTTGCGTGCTATCTTGACTAACTTTATATGTTAACGAGGGCAGCTATGGAAGAGGGATAGTTGACGCTTCACATTTGAGTACTACGAACTGCCACATAGTCATGCATGCGAGAGTCGAGTTACCATCTTTCTAAAACTGGTCTTCTGTCGTTACTCAAGATTATCAATTCATGCATTCATGTGCCCTGCTAAGGAGTAAAATGGACCTTTCTGGGTAATAGTCTGACCTTGAGTTGATCCGATTCAAAGTAATGGAAATTTGGAAATGAGGCCAAACCACCAATCACAAATTTCGGACCCTCCTACATTGAGTTGGACTGATCGGGAAACAGGAGGCTATTTTTCCCTCTTTGTGGTCCGTTTGAATTGGTGTAGGACTGTTCTGGTGATAATTGGGCCTAAAATTGCATGGCTACGAATCGTGCAACGGACACCCCTATTTCTCCTTACTATGATGTTGATTCGGAATGCCGAAAGAGTGTTTTTGTGATGTTCTTCAGTGCTTGTGCGGTTTGCGGATGTTCTCTCCTTCAGTGTGAAAAGTGACCTGTACAGCGCACTTATCATAGATTTGTCATTTTTAAATGAGCTCTACTTCACCGACCGAACACAAAATTGCACTGGCAATATTCGAGAGCATCACTTGAAGTCTACAATTTACTAGCTAGTGGGTTGATACTCTTTCCATAGGTAACTGATACACAGCTTGTTTGTGGATTTTCTACAGAACAACTACTCTGTGATGGCAAGTCGATCACGGACCGTAACCTAACCATCGATGACGTGAGTGTGAAAGTGAGGCAGGAGTTTGAAAAGATAAAGACGGTTCTCCAGAAGATTGACATCTCGTTGGCTCATCCCGATTCAACAGAGGGTTACCCTAGCATGCAGGATATGGAGAACCATATGACGTGCCAAGACGTTTCAGAGTGGAACAACAGTCTTCATTTGAAACTAGAGTATAATGACAAGGTTAGTGTATTGGTCACACTTGTTTCATCTGTGAAAAGAAACTGTGATAGCATTTCCGGCATGTCTGTTCCGATATGTCCTTGCGCACTTGAAAATTTCCAGAAAGCGGCCCTGTATTCACGGGTATATGTTGACTACATGAGATACTTGCTTTCACAAAACTAAATTTCAAAATTTATCAAAATTCTCTGGACTTGACTCCATTGTGTTTGCATTTCCACAGGAGAGCTTGACGTCATTTTCAATAAATTTAACAAAATCTCGCTTTATGCGACACCTTTTGTGTACTCAATAAACCTGGCCCCTTCTGCTCAAATCTGAATTTATTTTTATCGCGTCCACCAGCCTTCCTTCTGGTCGGTCGTCTTGTTCACCCGAAGTCCACTGAATTAGTCGGTTTATGTCACTATTGGTGTAAAACATAAATTCCTGCGACATTTACTTTCTGCTTCCGGATCGCGGTCAACACAAGACGATCCAGAATGCTCGACAACGTGTACGTGTTATACCAAGCAATAAATCTTACGATAATTAGCAGTAAACGTTAGTATGTGAGTGTCGCTCGTCCGGTGAGCAGATTTTAAGTGGCACTTAGTGAGAATCAGAAGCAAAACAACGGACAGACCGAGACTCACAAAACCTACCTGAGGCTATCGTATTCACTTTCTACCATGGTTTTTTGTTGTTGACCCTTGCCAAATGGGACCCTCGAAGCAACATTAACTGTCTAGGTGCAGCACTTTTGCAAAATCTGGGCATACTAAATTGACCACAGAAAAGGAATGATTAAAGTTTCTGCAACCAATTACTGTCTTTTGTGTGAAAGCTATAATTACATTTTTAGTAATCACTTTTAGTTCGTGCTTTGAGCGGTTATGCAATCACATACCCACTTACATTACAGCGTGTTCCGTTTTACTGGTGCATTTTGACACGTCGGTTAAAAATTATCATGTCATTGTGCTGCCCTCTTTCGTTTTAATTCTTATTCAAATTCAGATACCTAGGGTAAACAATCCAGTGATCAAAGGATTTTAGTTTGCAAATAATGCTAATCTTAGTTTAGGGTTCGGGTGACAAATGGCTTAACATCTGAGGTTTCCATCTTTGTTCCTCCATTGCCCTTTAATGTATCAACCCACTCCACCGTTCAGATGGTCATAACAGCTGAAAGGACTTTAGCAGGTGCTTATTTTGTTGTTGTTGTTGTTGTTGTTGTTGAGGTCTGATGTCGCGGAACTTTCGCTGGTGCACGTTTTTGGTTTATTATACCAAAAGTAACATTCCCATTCTTTTACTGCGATGACGCGTTTTCCTGTTGCGTTCGCGACGTTTCAGCTGATGCCCTGCGTCCTTCCACCTCTCTACACTCGCCTTCCGCCTGATTATTTGACTTCTCGACGGGCTAGTTGGTTTGTACGCATGGATGATTTCGCCCCGCCGGAAGTATCCTCAGATGATGGAAAGGTTTCTTTCTTTACCCGAGAAGAAGTGGCGTCTTTCCTGAAAACTTCGTCGACTTTGATTGCTTGGTATATGAAGAGCCTTAGAAATATCCCAATTAGCCAGCATCTGGGCGAACGACTCAGTTTGTACAACGTGGCTGAAGTCTGGGTAAGGAATTGCATTTTTTGCTTCGTGGGCAAGAAAAGTGAACCAAATAAAGAAATCATTGAGCACATCCTGTTAAAGGTGACAAGTAGAGCTCGGAAGTCTGAGTTTCGACAACCCTTCTAGTGCTTGGATTTGATGCGCAAAATGCAATTTTTTCTATCAACACTATGACCTGACGCACTTATGTGTTGCCATACGGCATGCGCTTGAATCGAAAACCGTTTTTTCATTGTTGTAGGTGAAAAGCATCCTCATGGCGATAACACGATGTATGAACGCTTTTTAGTCGTTTTCCAAGAGTGCATTTTTTGTTAACATGACTTCATTGTTCAAACTGCAGTATTTTGAATACAATTTTGATTAAAGCCTCCTTATAAACCCCAAGAGCATGCCATGCCCACCAGCTGTAGGTATTGTGAGAACTTGTTTCAAAGACCTTTTACCAGATTCACAACAATACACAACTCCAATTGTAAGAATATCTTAACGTCATTTTACATGCACACGAAATTCACCAATCTTGTAGTTGTTAAGGTAGGTAGTTAAGTTTTCAATTTTATGGAACGGGTCCATTTATCGTAACAACTCCGTTGCAAAGCTTGGCGTCAAGTTTTCCGGTGTCTACGTGACGGGGAACAGGGAAGCTGCGTGAAAAGCGGTTGTCTCCTCTTTCTCCCTCCACAATCAGATGACCACCACGAAGTCTTACGTGAAGGTCTTCCTCACTGTATATATCATCGATCGGCATTGTTATGTTTAGTGATCGGCTCCCGTCGTGGTGCTCTGTGATGTATTCCTTTTGATTTTCTGTTAAAAATTTAAATACGGTTTCGGTAAAAGTGCGGGCCCGCACATCGTCATTCACCACTTACAGGCACTAAGAGTTGCGTACCGACACGAAGCAAGCCATTGACCTTACCTAAGTTGGCTCCAGCCAATATTCTAGACGCCCTGTTGTAACTTCAAACTAGTCTTTAATATTGAATAGTAAAGGTGGTGACAGCCTCATAGCACATGTTGCGTTGTATGTAGCTCCCTTTAGTCACCGGTTTTGCCTTAACAAACAGCTAGGCCATACTGTTTACCTTTACGGCTCCTTGTCCTCGAGTGGCCTACGAAAAAAGAGAAGAAGCGTAAAGCAACTCTGCTTCGTGGTCGATTAGCTTTCGAGGTCGCTCTCTGAAATATTAGCAAGGCGTTAAATAGTTTTATCCTCGGAGTATTTCGTTCAGACGTCGAGAAGCTGCTATGCATAAACATTTCCGGAATTTATGATACTTTTTAAGCTAACCTATCTGTCTTTACCGATGGTGACTTAAACTTGACGAAATTATTGGTGAAGTGATCAGGAAGAACACGTTTATCTTTGGTGGAATCGGATCTAATCTCTCGAACACTGCGTTGCGTATAATGAAACGCGTTAAACTTGTCGTAAGGACCAGGCTTTATGAGCGTGGTGGTGGATCGGTGATTGGGAAAATGCGGTCCTCGAGAGATCCGACGTTCCTTCCCGAAAACCTTGCATCGTCTAGGTCAAAGAGGGATGCGGTGCCTAAGACATTGTTATTGTGGAGTCACAAGGAACCCCACCACAATTCGCAGACTCCGATCTTAAAATGCTGAGGCACAAATTTTTGTAGAACTTTTTCGCCTTTTACGGGGGTGTCCGACCTAGTTTTCCACATTCAGTGGAGAAGTATTGGGGCCCATAAGTTACTTGGTGAGTGGAAGACAATAATGAGTAGTGACAGTTGTCATTAAATGGATTGTGGGTCAGGTAGATTTTACTCAAATAACATTTTGTTGTTAACAAAGTACTCCAACAAAGTGCCTGCGTTCTAACATTTTGGTGAGCAGTTGTTTTCAGGCAGTCTCACAATAAAGTGGATTGTACGTGTTTTCATTTGTCACAAGGATGCTTGATAAATTGTAAGTGTGGATTTATTAATATTTAGAAACAAGTATAGTGGTGCAATGTAAATGATTGTGTCTTCAGAGTTCCACAATGAATGAATAACTGCCGACAGTAGTGAGTTCGACGTTCCACAATTGAGATTAAACATGGTCGTGCGTTGTCCGAATGAGAGAACGCAAAAGGACGTTCTGGCATACTGTTAGCTGTTAGAAATCGTGAGTGGCTGTCTGGGGTTGTTAGTTGCGCCTACCGCGTCGGTCGTGCAACATTTTGCGACGACCACCCTCTTCAATGGGAATCCGTCTTGTCTGGCCTTGGTAAAGCCTTTGTGCGTCGACGCCAGGAGCTGGAGCTTCTACAGTCAAAATCCCGTCCTGCAAGATAAACAGGAGTGGTCAGACTTTTTAAATGAAAGCCAGTAAAAATCAACGTAACAACACTACAATTGACCACTCGACTAGTTTGATTGAAAGCGTTCATAAAAGCTTGTGTAGGGTATAATGGTGCTTTACAGAATTCCTTAGGCTGCAAACCTCCCAGCTAACAGCCGATAAGCATGTTTAGGACTCAACACTAAATGTGTAATACGGCACCAAAGGCTCATCTAGGTGATGACTTAAGTTCTTTTAGGATTGAATACTACATTGCATGGTGAAAATGGCCTATTTATAAGGCACAAACTGCTAATTTTCTTCGTTTAGAGGTTTTCCCTTTTGGCAGTTTATGATACTGTGCACTGTACGCTGTAACGAACCATGTAGGCGTAATGCATGGCCTGGTTGGCAGATTTGGTAAATTGTGCACACTGTTGAGATAACCTGCCAAAAGATTTTCCAGCCAGTTTCGATATTTGCGCACTGTGAATTTGACTAATGTCATCAATATGAGTCCACAATGTGTCAACTAAGTAGTTTGTGTACAAGATCCTTAATTTCTCTCCCGATTGTTTACTCACGCTCCCCCTATCTTTCGAGTGGGTGAGAATGCGAAATCTGCCATTCAAAATAAAGACATTGGTGAGTGCATGCCATTTTATATTCGCATCTCACGGTGCCATGCAGAAAGCTTGGTACATTAGTTCTTGCCGCTGATACAGTCAATTCATGTGTACATGTGAAAGTTATTCTGATTGAAGGATCGCTTGAAACTGGTGAGCAAAATTTGACTTGACCAAACCTAAAGTAGTACACGGAGAGCCAAGAAATAAGCTTGAAACGAGCAATCGACTTTTGACCAAGCTTATCATTTCAGGTTACTTAAGTCATGTTAGAAAAATAGAAGCCTGCAAACTACATGATTTTGCAAAAAAATAATAAAAGAAGTAAGTTCAAGACAGTAGCTCCCTTACCTTGTCCAAGGCAGATTTGAGTTTCTCCGTTAGGACTCCATCTGGAAGAAGCATCGCGCGGCAGAAGTACTGACTACTTGACGAATGACTTCCACGTTGGCTGTGCTTGGCTTGCACAGACAATAATTGGTCGTCTACACGAACTTCGATGTCCTCCGGATCGAACGACTGAAGGTTGAATTTGATCCTAAACCAGGTCTGTGGGTGAACATAAAGAAGCTATTTTATCAGAATAGCTTGGTGATTAAAAAAAGTTTTTTTTCATGATGACAGCCTCAATCTGACTTCAATTACTTCAAGTCATGTCCTGGACACAGGTAAATGAGATGCTGGTGGGTTTTTCATGTTGAGATTGGTTTTAGGTGATGAAAGGGTATTTGTTGGACCTGTCGAAGTTAGCAAGCTGTATCAAAGCTCTGCTCCGTTTTACCACCCAAATGACCCGCGACCGAGGTAAGAAACTGGTGAAACCAGGTGAGCACGAATGTTTACGTTCCAGATGGGCATGCTGTTTCCCAGAGTGAGTGTGTGTTCGTGGATCACTTGTGGACAGAGACGAATGGGGGGTAGGAGTAAGTGAGAGGTACCACCCAATTGAGGCAGACCTTTTTGGAGAAGCTTTTACTTACAAGATTCCTCTGACCGCCATTTTGAGCTGACGGCAGATGGCTTTCCTGCACTAAACGAGGGCTCAAGTCCATTGCTGTCTTGGGTTATCCTTAGGAGATGGCTCGACGCATCTCAAGCCACACCAACGATGATTAACGTTTATACTGTAAAAGCTATGCACTTGACAGCTAGCTACTTGGGTTTCATGATTTTACTTCACAGCAGAAGCCGTATAGGTGCACAAGATACTGGCTCAAAATTATTCTTGGGACACATTAGGTATGTACTTGATTTCGTGTCTAGATTCGTATTGAGGAAATTCAGGCTTATTTGACATTATAACGAACAGATAAAATTCCTGTACCTGATTTATGATTTTATGAAGGATGGCTGTACTTTGGAACTGAATATACTACACCGTGGTACAAGTTCTTTACAGCAGATTAAAGCAACTATTCAGTCAGATCTCCTGTACCAGATTATTAAATATCGTGGAACTAAAATTAAGACCTATATTGTCGGACTGTGATCACACTGAAGATAGGCACAGTTGACACGAAGGTATCACACTCTCAAAAATAAACTCAGAATGAAGTTAAATCTCGGTTCTACACCTATAACGTTAGAAGGCGATTGTGAAATCGACCGAGTCAAATGTTTCCCAAGTTGCGAGTGAGGCGACTGACCTGGCCATTGGCATCCTTAGTGAAGCAGTCGGCCATGTTGGGCAGGCACCACCAATCCTCTGAGAATGAGGGCATCCCCGATTCACGCATGAACCGCAACATGTCGTTGTGCATATTTCTCATCCGCTCATTGATGTCGCGAAACCAAGTCGTGGAATTTCTGTCTCCCCAGCAGGAGAACATATCGAATGGCTGAAAAAGGTCCAAACTTGGGGTGATATTAAACGTGGTCAACAACAGGTTCCCAATATGGATAGTAAGGTTGCTGTCACTGATTGGCTAATCGTACACAGAACCCCCTAGAGACGTTTACCGGTACACACTTAGCCCGAAAACCATATTTCACATCAGGGTTGCTGAATACATTACAAGGAATAAAGCTCGAAGGAACTGTCTTGAAATAATTAATAGTAATGACAATCAAGACTGGAGGCGTTTGCATCTGAATGGACTGCCAGGAAAAATAAAATAATTTACATGGGTGTAACTAGAAAAGTGTAGCAATCTGCCTTCGTTCTTTTAGTTTTCACACCTGCTACTAATGATTTGTTAGTCGCCGGGTGTTATAACCAAAGTTATTTATGAATTAATTAGTTCATTTAGCCATTACATTTAGGTCAGTCGTTGTGACGATAACATTTATTTCCTGATCTTCAGCGACTGGCGTTAATATTTGTGATAGCACAATAACCTCGAATATTGTCATTGGTTTATGTGAGAACTGTTCTAATTACCTAGGTAATCTTTCTGCAAAGCCGTGGACTAGCGTCCGTCTATTTCAATGAATATTTGACCAAGGCTCCTAAGGACTCAGTAGCAAGTCGTATGACCCTAAATCTTATCATTAATCAGCCAAAACTTTATCTAATTGTTGTACTGTCAAATGACAACACTGCATAGTGGTTGGTTTGTGCTCAGCAAGCTTAACACACGTGTACGAACTTTTTCAAAGAGTATAATGAGATAAGTGACGTCTGGTATCACATGGACTACTGCATTTGTGTTATCCTAAGTGGTCGTGACACGTGTGGTCCACCACGCGGGTCTCGTGGATGCGCGGACATTCACCGTGCGGCTTAGCAACTCCGTGACGATCTCGCCTACGATGGTCTACTAGAGCTCTTGGTCTGTCTATGGCATTCTAAGGAGGCCAAAACGTCTCTAAAGTTTGTTTTTAATCGCGTTAAGCCTTCAGCGAAGTGGCATTATACGTTTTGAGCGAGGGAGCTAGCAAAGTCGTTTTATTAGCAATTGGCATTACCGAGTTCCTCATACTGACGAAAAACAACGATTTACGATGACATTAGTCGATGCACTCACACAACAGACTATTAAAATGTCACCTGAAGCCATCAAAACAAAAACATTTGGCATAATAGAGAGGAATAATTAACAAGGTAAAGGAAATCTGAAGGCATTAGAGGCAAAACGGATGGTTTGTCCCGAGATATTTTTTGTCCACTTTAAAAAAATGTGAAGGTGATTTCAAAATTAATGTGTGGGAAGCAGGCATGTTGAGACAGTGGGATCCATTTTAGAAGCGTATCCCACGACTGTTTTGCATGATGAGTCGACAGAACCTTCTCTAGGGTCAAGGATTATAGGATGTATTTTTGGGGCATCATTTATTGTGCAAGGTTAGGATATAAGACCAATAGATTAATTCCTTTTTTTAAAATTGAATTCTGGTGCTTACGAATACCAGCAATTTTAGCAGAGGGAACTTGAAGCATTAAATCGCGATTCCTCTGATTTCAAAAAAAACAGCGTAACGTTTTCCTTTAACTGTTTTCACGGACATTACGTTGGCCATGATTTAATTTTGATGCGTTTTGTAATATTTTGTGCAAATAGAACCATTTTTAGTGCTACGAACATATCCTGTTTTCAAATTCTACAGAAATATCCAACGAAGGGTAGTCATTCTTATAATCCAAAAAAAGCTTATGCAGGAATGTAAACCGATTTCACTCTGTTCTAAATAGATAGTATTTTTAAACTTTTTTCACATTGTGAACAAATTTAAGACGTTTAAAAGCTTATGTTTTCTCTGCTTGCATTCAAGGCGCTTAAAATAATGCATGCAAAGGTATTATGTGCGCTTTCGGCAAGCGGAGGAAAGACATTCCCAATCATTGGCGAACACCCTGCACCTCATAGAAGTCTGGTCGGAATGCGGAACTTTTGCCACCTCTAGGACCTGGCTATTACCTTTTCTATCGACTTCTTTATAAGCGTTATTGTGCAGCTGTGACTCAGTTTATGGCTCATAAATTACTCAGATTATGCATGAATTGAACTTGAAACAGGCATTATGCTTAACTCCTCGGTACCTGTGCGGTACAGAGTGCCTTGCGATTTCATCAAACAGGTAAAGGCAGGGGCATTCACCAATGGCGTGCGGCAGGATAGTCCTCATGGAAATTTAAATTTCAGCTTAAAATAAACAAGATTGAACTTGGTTTCAGCGATTATTTTAGACAAAAACGTGTAAGTTTTGTATCTGAACAGACAACAAAGACAAATCCGTGGCAAAGACAGAGAATCAGATTCCAGTGCGCCATATCTGCCATTTCAAAATAATATACCGAAACCTGAATATAGTCGCTATTCCTTTTAGATAAACTATAATAAATTACAATTAAAATAGAAAATAGTTGGGTTTTAAGGCTGCCGTATAATGGTTTGAAAAGACAACCAAAACGAATACAAAACTGTGTGGTCGAAAGCATTTCTCGGGAGAGAAATGGACAGAATAACTGAAATGAAAAGTTATTTTTTATACATTCAAACAGATTCCCAACTAGCAAAATCAGCATGACTTCTATACTTAAGGATTTATTGTAGTGCGGATCACATACCTTTATAAACGTTCCATCATTCTAAAAATTTAAGGCGGCATTAATTGCATAGCTAATTTGAAGTGTATGACGCCCTACTTAGCTTCAGTTCTTTTACCATCCAACATTTTGTGCTTTTACTCTTAATAATCAAGACTGAACAGGTTTTTGATAACTTAGAGTTTTGGTCCGCAAAAATTTTTTAAACTTCAATCTTAAACCACTTCAAAAGTCGGTTCGATTCTAACGGCTGCAGGGAAAGTGTTTTTTTCAAGGATAACAACATACCCTAAAGTCAAGAAGTCGCCTGTGCATTTCCTCCATTTCTCGATGGATATCAGCAAAGGTAAAAGGAGGCCAGTTGTTCTCAAACGGTGCCATTTGTGCACCCTCCCGACGCTGAAGAGCCATTTGCTTATCCTCTGAAGAAGTTCCTCTTCTTACCGGGATATTCATATTCTAATATGCAAGATTCCTGTGTTGCTATGGTGGCAAGGTTGCTTTGGCACCAAACTTGATTTGCAACTCGTCGCTGGTTGGTTAATGCATGGCCTTGATAATGCAAGAATGTTCTAGAAACAGTGTCGTGTGATCTTCTGTAAGCATTCTATAGGTGGAGCGACAAAACAGCACGGTAACTACGGTGGAGAATGTTTTCCGAAAAGCATTTATAACCGTACTGTTTTTCCGTGGAAACCCGTTCTGCAACTCTCAGAACAGCATTGTATTAAAATTGTACTAAATGGTTACTTCGTATTTGCTCCGAAGTCTATACTTTTAGTCCAAGCATCGTTACTTTATTACTTCGTAATTTTTACCTGCAGTTTTGATATTTTTAAAATACAAATTTTTTCAACCAGATCAGAGTTTTTACCCATTTCCGGAATTCGCTCATCCAATTCCAAACCTGGCATATTTATCCTATTCAAAGAACCCGAACGCTAACCATAACACTTAATTCCTGCATGTTTTTCATCGTAAAAGTTGTCTTTTGGAAATGAGAAGAAAGAAATTGTGCAAGGGAACACTCCTGTGCAACTGATCATACTTCTACTTAAAACCAAAGTGTTTTATGTAAATTCCTCAACGATGGTCGTCATGTTGGAAAAATCACTGTGATGGTGTTGATGGACCATTATTCACCGATTCTTTTGCTGAGAGGGGCCTAGTGAGATGATCTATTCAAATTAAATAGAACTCATAAATCGATAACCTCTTCTTGATCCAATTCCATGCTGAGTAAATACAAAACAGAATACGCTAAATAGAGTAACATTTTTTAACAAGGTCCTTCCAAACATCATGTAATCATTTCATTGTTCCCAATAGAAAGCAGTCTGCTTTTGTGTTCGGGACAACAATAGTCAATGATTGAGAAAGTGGTCATTTTCATTGGTTACCGAGTCCAAAATTCTAATATACAGGCCAGCTGACAACTAGTGACACAAACAAATCGAACCACAAGCACATTTTAATGCAGGGATATTGTAAGGATTTTTTGAACTCGGTGCCTTCTCTTTTTCAACCAGAACAGGAAAGGTGAAGCAGGGCTTGTATTATTTGAATTCGAAATGAAAGAAATGATTGGACCACAAGCGAACAGAAAAAGCTGGCTAAAGCGACGTCATTATTAAATGCCGGCGTGATTATGTGTAGCAATGTCAACGAAGAACAGGTGCAAGTGGGCTCATTCGGAGACGGAGACCAGCACGAGGCCCTGCCGTCTAGACGGTGCAGAGGAGAGGCGCCTCAATGACCAAGGTGTCGCCCTTGAGAACCGCGGAAACGGTAAATGGATCGATGGTCTCCGGCACTTCAAAAGTGCGCGAAAATTCAGCAAACTCCGAACTCTTTGAACTGGATCCCGAGGAAGTTGACCTGTCACTGCTCCTCTCTTTCTTCCCAGAAATGCAGATCTTGTTAGCATCCATTCGGACACAGAGGTCGTTTGCAGTAAAGCCGGCTTCTATAGGAACTTCCAAATGAAGTTTTCTACCACCGGCACCATCATTCAAGACAACTGGACCCGACTGTCCTTAAAATAAAAATACAATGCCCTTTACAAACCTGTAAAATAGAAAGAGGCTCGGACGTGGTTATAGTTTGCAAACGTGGCCTAAAGTGTCCGTTAACAAATACTTTCTGAACCGTAATTTAAAGTGCTACTAGCGTATTTTCAGTACCCTAAAGCGCAGAAAAATACCTCTGACAGTAACTTGAGTTTCGGCAGACTTCAAGGCTGAGGAATCCTTAGGTCGAATACCGAGGTTGTGACTTGAATCGAAGGTGATCGAGGCATAATCTGGAGCTTTAACGGGGGCATCCAAAACGAGCACTCCATCCTATATAGGGCAAAAGGAATTATTTGCTTAACAATCATATCTATAAAGAATTAAAAAAAGTGTTTAAGTAGTGGAGCACCAAGACTTAATACTGATTAATGGAGGTTTCTTGTTCCTGCTCAAATGTAAGGGCTCATTCGGCCTTACTCACTGCAGGATATTTCTAAATGGCTAAAATAACTAGGAGTATCCCTGAATTAATCTAGCGAATCCACCAAACGTTGGTTATTACGAATCACATTGGTTGAGGACGAGGAACTAAAAAAGGAATGATTTACGTGGCGCATTCGACTGCTTACTTATAGATTTTGTCGTCAGACTGGATTAAAGTCATATTGATAAGAAACTACTCAAAATTGTTACTGAAATCCCAAATGGGGGTGAGTCAACATCAGCCAAGACTTGCCTCAGTGAGAGAGCACTGAAACTTTTCATGGTCAATAGAACGAGGCAGGTCTACAGTGCGGCTAAATTCACGAGAACTGGTAGATGTAGCCGTTTTGACGGATTTACTGGCGTGGACAGTCAGTCTGTTCCCCACAGTCGTGACGTCAATGTCTTCTGGAGCAAAGTCCTTGGCGTCGAAGCGTATCTTGAAATGCACCTACATGGGTGGAAGGCAACAAGGGAGAGTCAAAAGTGTTATCATGAGTTATGCAGTGTAGCCATCAAATGACCATTAAAACTAGCCATTCAGTCTGAATTTAGCAATTTAATTGGCCTATTTCCATTAAATTTGATTGTAAATTTGCTTGATAAAAATGGCAAAGTGGATTTACGCCAGATAACACATGACCCTCACTGAGGGGATAACGTTGAACTTCAACAAAGTTTTGAGTTTTCTATAAGATTTTGTCTCGAGAACATAATCTAAAGGCTGGTTACGCTTCTGATTTTAATATGTGACTACAAATTCGCCTGAAATCAAACAGCAGATTGCCTGAAAGTTCGCCTCAGCTGCCAATCTTTAGAACAAAGTGCAGATACCGCTTTGTTGTATTGGCATTTAAATGAAACTATTTTGCGAGGCAACAATCAAAAATACGTATCCAGGACCGCCGACCCGTGACCAAGACACCGATGAAAAGTTTTCAGTTATGCAATACAATAATTGAGACGCTACTAGTCTTAAAATTTAAGGGCCGAATGGGGCACCTACAAAGCCTGTTAACCTTCAAGAGTTACCAGTTCCGGCATTCTCTTGCAGAAAAAAAGGAATTTCCTGTCAAATGATGGGTAGATAGCAACTGTTTTCAGACTCCCCCAATTCGATTGGATTTCAGAAATGAAACCAGGAAAAACAATCTGGACTTCTAATATAGACTAAGATAAAGAACACATACTTCCACAGATCTAAATCAGACTAGGAAATTGAGAGCTTCACATTAAAGTGGGGAATGAACTGCGTCTGAGTGAAGCGTATTTAGTGATTTTGATGAAGCTAGAATAGCGCCGCCTCCAACTCACGCGTATCTTCCAGACCATTAGTGCAATAGATCTATCCAGCAACAGACTCGATGCCTCAGCTGATGATTAAATAATCACATTTGGAAACCGTTTAAACTAGTAGAGGTGGACTGCAATATGTTTAGACCGTGCCAATTCGCCCACCTAAATTTACTCCTAGGTATCCCAATTCATTCAACATCTCTTATTTCAACGATTTTAGCCTAAAATATGTTTTTCATTGACGTTCTGAATTTAAGTGTCCTTCACGAACAGCATTCTCACTGATACGACACAAAATCAGCCAAAACGAGGCCGAGTTAATATTAACAAAACATTTTATGCGCCACTCCGGACCAAATGTTAACTCATTTATTGACCATGCAAACGCGCTTGAGAAACATTCACTAAATAATTCCATCTCTAGATGATAACCCGACGATATTGTCAAATTTCACGTTGACGCAACTGCCTTATTTGCGATCCCAGCGCGCCCCACACAGAAGCAGCCCGCGCGACATGCCCTGTGAATGAATGGCTCGGGCCAATGCGGTGTCGCGCTCCGCTCAGCCCAACGCCCACACAGGCACCCGGCAGAGTTTGCACGAATGACAAACGGCCAGCGGCCGGACGAACACCGGGCTGCGCTTTCGGTCTGTCGGTGAGTCACACGCTTAATGATTAGGCGTCTGCAAACACTGCAAACCGGGTCGATTAGTCACTGATGCCGCGTAAGCCAATAAAAATGCGACTATACCTACAAAACCTTACTTAAGAACAAGAAAATGCACTTCGTGTTATCGGTGAATTTGAATACACTTTCCCCAAAAAGCTCTGGCAGCATTTTATTTACTTCCCGAAAGTTTGCATGGCCTGATTGGACTTACATGGCCTCAATTAGATCAACTTGTGTGAACAAGACAATGAGACATAGGGCCTATTCTTAAATCCATTTGTTCTTCAAAGGTTCAATTTGAAAAAAAGCGCATTACCAGAATCTCACAAGTCGTTAATAAATCTAGAAATCACGAAGGAGCTTCACAGGTGCTCCTGAACAACCAATAAATGCATTGGTAAATATTTCGAATAGAGCTAACGTAAAGTGACTCTTAAGAAATATATTCAACAAACGAATTTCGGGGCACGGGGTTGAGGTGAACGCCCCGTCTAGAGTCTGTTCCATGCTTTTTCATGCATCAGAACTTGGCATTCGAGGCCTCGCGAATGGGACAAACAGACTGAATGTAGGCTGCACAGGGCAGTCTTCGTGGACTGAAAACTAGTTGGTGCATTAGTTCACACTGGAAATCTGACTAATTAATTCGAGTCATCGAAATGTCACCGAAACTGTCTCAAGGAAAAAGTCAACTATCTGTGCCCTAGTCGGAAATGTTCGGTAATATATAAATTGCATGGTCTAATTTCTTAAAGTGTTTCAATAAACGATGTCTAATGGGGAAACAAAACAGGACGGAATTTAGGTATTTTATCATTAAGTCAATTTTGACATAAAAATAACCGATTGCTGTTATTAAGTTATTGGTTTAGAGTAAAGTTGCTGAGAAAAAAGTGTGCAAAATTAACGAGACTCTTTTTATAGTGTTTCCACTGTCACTGTTTTCACACTCAACAAGATAGTCTGAGTCATTTCGAAAAGTTAAATTGCATCTAGTTTAGAAAGGTTGTGACGAGGGATTAGCTTTGAGTCTTACCAGACCATCATCGCCAACTTCATAAGCATTTGAAAGAAAGTCCATTAGAGCAGGGCTTCCAGGCGTTGTCGGGACGACAGCGCCAGGTGCTCCTGCGCTCTCCACGAGCTGCTGATCCACTCCCGACCCAAGTCTGTTGGTGTTGCTCGATGAGGAGTGGCTCTTTGTGCCTGTAGTTACGCCGTCCACTGTCTGGCGCGACTCCTGCGTTGTAGAGGTGTTTGACGTGACGACACCGCCATCATTGACCGTGCGCGTGGACGAACTGGAGAAATGTGAAGTCATTTGATGATGTCCACCTGGATGGCCACCGCCTGGCCCGAGCATTCGCATCTGGCTGTCCATCTGCTGACGAAGTGCTTGCATCCGACGTTCCATAGCCTCAAAACCGTGGTCCGCACCTCCCGGACCTCCGGTTAGGCTACTAAAATTATCCCAATTCTCGAGGTCAAATTCGTCCATTGGCTACAAATAGGATATTAAGGGATTTTAGGAAACACAACAACAAATTACCGCAATACCCATGTTCCCCTGTTCCACGTATCTTACATCATCAGCAAACAAATAGATTAGTTGATTCAAGTTAGTGAACAATGTGTCATGTTGGCAAAGATTTTCATAGACCGCATGAACCTGATTGCACTGTAGTGATAATGCGATAATGATCAACAATCGACTCGAGCCATTCTCCTATAATAATACATTGATATTTATTATGCCTTAATTTTGAAATGTACGATACCCCGTATCAGTAATTTTAAGACATATATTTGGCTAAATGGGCGTTTTTCAGATATTAATTATCTTCATAAAGACCTTCTCCACCTCCCAATGCCTAAAATCGTAACACGCCAAACATTCCTGCAATTGCCATTGCAACTAGTTGCCTGGTATTCTCAGTATGCACATCTCTGTTGCTTGATAAAAATGAATTCTCGGGGGTTATTTTGGCCGCCATTTCACACAATTAGTGCATCTATACTAATATAAAAAGAGATGTCATGACAAAGATTAAGTGCTGACCGCACTATGAAGCTTCAGCTAGAAAAATGAGACTTTATGCTCAAGATGCTTATTCTATGGATATCTAAGCCCACGGTTGGGAGGGTAAAGAGCTTAAATTGATTAAACTGAATAAGGACTTGAATACCCAGGCCACGATTACTTAATGTCATATCAGGCACCAGCAAATGTGTTAGAGGGTCAGGTGAGTGCCTGCTTGATAGAATCAGGCTGCGATTTGTTTAAAAGCCTGAGTATGCAGTTAGATACGTCAGGGGAAGCTTGAGGTTTGCAGACTGCTGACTTCCGTGGTCGCAATTCAGAAAACACCATGAACCAATTGATCAGGCTGAGTCCTATGGGTTCTTGTTAAATAGAATGCCGAAGCAGCACCATACAAAAACTAGATACCCAAACCTGACGAGTTTACCTTCATGTGAATTTCAATGACTAATGAAAGGAGGGCGAAAATGAAGACAATTTTAAAATGAAATCCTTGATTTGATTGAACACTAGTGACTGTAGGCTGCCCGATTATTTTGACTTGCAACATTTATTCTAGTTTGTGTGCAAAAAAATTCATGCCTGATGAATTTTTCGATTTCATTCGAACATTTTAAGGTACTTACTGGTGAGGCTTACCACAGAATAGCGATTTTATTGTGAGCCAATAGATCTGATGACATAAAAGTCGTGTGCGAAATGCTCACAACATGGTTAACTAAACCCACGGTTGTAATGATGGTGGGAGGAGCAAAATACAACACACTTTTAAAATTATAATGAAAATAAGTGGTTAATTTGTTAGGGTTAGTGAAGTAATTAAAGTTATTTCTCAAGTGAAGCGAAGACTTTAGGAACGGAATAAAAGGGCAAAATCGATTTTTTTGAGACATAGTTATGGAAAGAGCACCAAAGACTGTATTTTAAGGATATTTTAATATAGACAATTCCTGTTATTGAAAAGTATTAATTAAACAATCTGCAAGTCAGCAAACGCTATAATCCGCTTACAAATTTGGAGGCTTTTATCATACCTTTCTGTCAAAATTACAATTTAGGAGCATGTAAACCTTAAGCGCACTAAAGCCCATGTAGCAATGACGTGAAACGGTGCGGAGTATAGTTTTCACTAAAATAAACAACTGGATATTACATTTTAACAGGGTACGTTACTAATTAGATAAATTGTAGGATTTTAAGCTTAGAAAACTTATTAATGACGAAATCATAAGATGAACAAGAGCACTACCTTACGTAGATGTTGACGATATGCGCAATAATCAAATTTTTGTTTATTTCCCGAATCTGCGAAAAATGCAACTACCCTAATTGTTGGCACCAGAATGAAACCATGAGGTAAGACCCTTAAATAAGCAAATAGCCGTTTTACTAGATACTCAAGAGGTAACGCAAAATAAATTTCAATTTTAGCAAATCCTATGTCGAATATGGAAGGTACACGGCCAAAACGAACGTTTATTTTGTAAATAATGCTGAATAGGCGGACAAGATGATAAAATATTCTTCCTTGTGCTTCCGCAGTGCGTATTCAGGTTTACATCGGACGATAACCAAAAGAAATATTAAATTAAACAACCTGTATTTTTACTGAATTTTTGTAGAGTGTTGTGTCTTTGGAACAGTAGGCCACACTTGTACTCTGGAATTTATGGGTTTCGTTATTTGCGTGACCTTACTAAATAGTACAATGCGTATTTGACCAACCGTTTCTATCCACAAAAGCACTATTTTAGTAAGTTCTCGTGAAAGGACTGCAGGGGCTTTTGAAACTAAATAATGGAAGTACTTTTGACTTCGACCACAGGCATGCAGACAGGTTAGTTCACACAGAAGCATTAGTGATGATGTGAATTCAAGCCAGTCGTATAAGAAATGTTGAACAGCACACAGACTTACCATTGTTCGCTAAAAAGTAGTCACAGACTTATTAAGAGTTCGCAAGTCAGAGGACCACGAATCATTGGATGAAGCTGGCTTTTTTTATTATTTCCATCTAACAACGCCCACTCTTAGCGATTGCGATCTATCACAAATGAGAAATCGGCCTGGGATTCACAATCTTTGCTACAAGAGAATACCACATAAAAAAGAGCCCTTATTGTGGCTGATGACTCAACACTGGGTAGTAGAGCACCATTGCAATGGCCATATTAGTCGCTGAAAGAAATCCTGTCGTGAGTTGGTTGTGTTAGTTCGGTTAGCTTAAAACAGAGCATATTAAAATGAACGCAGGTAGTGTTAAGTTCATATCTGAAATTGGAAATGGCTCTTTAGTAGTAGTTTCTATCACTCAGCTAAGGTGCAGTGGCCGCAGACAGTGATTTTCTCTTCGTAGCAGAACCGGGAATGCCCGTACCCCAGAACACGACCAATGGCTAATCACCATGGACTCAAAGGTTAAGCGAAGTGAAGCAAATAGGCCTCGTGCAAAATTACAGCAGTGATTTCCAGCCTAGATGAGCAGACGACTGACGTTGCGTGGGAGAATGGGTCTAATTTGAACATGGATTTAACGACAGGATTAGGATAATGCGACTCTAATCTAAATAGGAGTTGAAAGGCAGGATCTTTTGGGCAAATCAGCCCCACGCATCAGTCAATATATTTAGTGAGCTGACTTTTTAAGTAGTCCATTCGGGCTTACATCGGATTTCCAAATTTCTTCATATATATCTTGTGGCTCAAGTAGCTCTTTAAGTTGCTGGTGCAAATTCTCGACTGGGATCGAAAATGCGAGGTTCAAACGTTAAATTTACTCGAGAGGATGATAGTAAGAATATCATACCTCTGCTTTGGTTCAGAGTTGGTGTTTTTCTGATATTTGAAGCTGCGTCATCAGCCAAAACAAGCTATTTCTTGAAAATTTCGGCAAAGCCTACGAGAAAAAAGATATAATTATGCACGAAAGGGAGACCTGGGTGCTTGTTTGTTGCGTGTGGATTGTATTAGCAACTGCATACAAAATTAGAGGGCCTAGACATAGTTTTTGACGGGCTCTCATTCATGTGCAACCGGCAAACGCAAGGTTAGCCAGTGAAGGCCCTGGCGAACAGGCAATTAGTCCTACTGCTTCCAGTTGGCCTGGCACTCACCACTCAGTCTTGTTCATGTCGTACTCTGCATGTTGTGAAATAAATACACAAAGCATTCCAAATTTCAGCACAACGCTTGGCACACTTCTACATAGCCAAACAATAGATTTGTTTTTATTAAATCACAGTTTCCCACTAGCTAAACCAACAGGTATCCACATGATGCAGTCGTTGCAAAATTATGGGTCGAGAGGAGTGATGTAAACAGTTCCGGCACAATTTATTGTTTAAATGGATAAGAACTAGTCCATTAGAATTATGTCTTTATCTTAAGGACTTAGCCCTCTTTCAAATACATTTGGCCAATTGCATAATTTAAAGTAGCTCTGTGACCAAAGAGACGGAAATTTAACTAGAAGGCAATTACTAACTTGGGACTATATGACCCAAAACCTTTACAGAGACTGAATTTAGAAATCATGAAAATTGTGGAAACGAAAAAACAAGTTCTAATAAAATATGCATTCACTTTATTTTCAAGATTCCTCGGGGTGTTTCATGCCTTTTTAAAACCTCTTTGCAGTTAATAATGTTTGAATTTTATGGAAAATAAAAAGGCGAAGTTTCCCATCGACATATCAGCCTTGACAATTACAACTTTTTACTTAACAGGCATTTCGGTAATGATTAAAAAGAAAAAAGGAAGGCCTCAGAATACAATACTTAAAAGTCACAGGTGACTCGACTGCTTGCAAGTTCACAAAGCCAAGAATTGACTGGATAAAGCAGGGATTTGCACAAAATTAATAGGTACAGGTAAGCGTTTTTTAGTACATTCCTGCTAATTGTGCACGACTTTAACATTAAGACCATTCGTCACAGTAAATCATTGTGCAATAGAGCGTTGTGGTTCAAATTATTGCATTAGCGATACAAAAGTGCAGAATACGAAATGCGGTTTTGGTTGATCCATTTTACAAAAAACCCACATATTTGAAAGATCAACTAAACCTTCTCCTGCTTATCAGTTTGTGCAGGAAAAGGATAGAAAATATACTACTTCCACAGTTACAAATCCAGGATTAACCTTTAATCCTGGGGTCACTTTGTTGTGCATTCTAAGGTTGCGAGATAAACTGTACGAGATTTTTAATAGTTTCATTTTGAACTATAACATTCATCGGCTTGTGTGATTGGTTGACTGGTCAATGTGTGATACAAAGGCTTACTATTAACCACTGTTTGGTGATAAATACGCAACACTGCCGAAATTAATTACTCGACTTAAATTTATTCCACCCACCCATAGAAAATAAACTGCGTGATTGTGCTACCACAAACAGCTCCAAGGAAATCGGCAGTTCTCCTCTGGCAATGCACACATAAATCAACTTGAATGTGCGCCGAGTGCAAACTCAAACAGAACACCAATGAGCGTGCACCCAAAGCTTAAAAACGGCATATATTACAAGTCGTGCCAACCACAAAGTATTCATCCGAAGTGAAGAAGGTGGAAGAATCTTCCTCAGCTATGATGACAAGTGAATTTAATTGTTGTATGAGTACTTAAATTCAATGGCAGGGCAAAAAATAATCGCTTGAGCTTGATTTGCACTATCAGAGACACCTTAACAGATTTTTTTTATAAAGCGAGGTAAATCCGTTTATGGAGGAATGTTGCACAATGTCTACAAGATCCGGGAGGACATCAGTGCTCTTGAAGATAAACCAATGCCTACACAATCTATTTATCACGCAAAAATTGATTCACCCATTAATTATTTACCAGCAAAATTGATTTCTAGCGTAAACGAGACATACCTCCAGAGCAAACATATTACTTCGCATCCGCCGAACATCCTCATCAAATTTTCTCCTTGCATCGTCGATCCATTTGCTCCTTTGAAATTCCCAGGAGGATCCGGTTGTCAGAGGTCCGGCTCCACTACTACGAGTAGTCGACTTAACGTTCTGTGAGGACACACTGGATATGGCGTCCTCACCTGCATCTGTCATAGACGAGGACTTGTAGCTCTTCTCTAACTTGGTTACTAGGTCCTTGCGACTCTGTTCAAATGTCCGCGGGTCCTTTTTCACCGGGATGTTTATCTCTGAGCGGAAGGATGACGAGGTGGAAGACATTGCTTATGCCAATTTGGTGCCTGTGCGTTTCTGGGCTCTTTTAAATAGCCGTGCACCCATTTCATGGTCGAAGTTTCGCAGGAATTGGTTAGGCATGTATTAGACTCTCGTCTGATTGGTTGCGCACAAGCATGGAATTTCACCTTCTGTGCGTGCGTGCGCGTTTGTGTGCACAAACGCACCAATGCTTCCTTCTGGAAAGTTCGCGAAGTATGAAGGCTTCTACAGGCATTTGCGTGTCTGTAATTGCTAGTTTATTATTCCGGATTTAGCTTCCAAGAGGGAAGGTCCTTAGGTTACTGGCGGAACACGGTTTTTAAGCATTTGCACGGTGCATACACTTGTTTATTGATTGCTTATGGGTAATGGAATTGAACCAAAATCCCAACCATTGTCAGTTAAAAAAGATGAAAAATTGAATGGTAAAGTTCATAAGTTATACGTTGAGCACACGCAATTTTCAACAAATGACAATAATACTTAAAACCTAGCTTGTCACAATTGTGTTTAGTTCGTTTTTCACGAAATCGAACATTCTTTAAAACAGTCCATTTTGATAGAGCAATGTTACCTTTTTAGTCCACGACTTTTATTTGAACTTGCCTGTTTTTGGTTTCCAGTAATACTTCGTAAGTAGTTTAAGACACATTCAGGTGGTATTAGACCATTCTAAGTTGCGACTTCGTCACGTTCGCATTAAGGTTGCAGTAATTTTTAGTGTCATTTTAACATTCAAGACTCTTCCATCAAGCACTAAAAGGGGATACTTGCAACACACAAATTGAGCTGGCTCTAAATAGGCTGTGGTAATGAGGAATCGAGGCCTGAAAGCCGAATCAATAACAAGAGACAGAATAATTGTCCATAGGAAATCAATAGGCTATCCTCTAAGTTAATCCTTCAAAAATTTTAATGCAAAGTCATTTGGATGGAAAATTTGGCAAAACGTGGTGAAAAGTTTCATTAAATCAACAAAGCTGCAGGCACCCCAACGCTAACGGTGCATTAAATCTAACATCAGCATATTCAAACCCTAAACTAAGGTAAGAAAACACAGGTAAGTCCTTTGCGTTGTTAAACCGTGACCGTGACCTGGCTGAATCAGTGTCTGCTTGTTCACCCTCTAACAACTAATGCACAACGGAAATTGAAAGATCAGGATGACCCAAATTTCTATATCACAGGCTCTTGGGTAGTCATCTGTGCCTGTTCATCAGACCTTTTGTTTTCTGTCAAGGAACCTTGGAAAAGTTTGAGATTTAACCTACCTTTCAGCAAAGGGTGAACGAAGTATACTGCCAGAGTCAAACAAAGGCCATTTTCACATGCCGTGGCTCAGACCACATTTTGTGAACAGAATTTGACGATGCCACGACATCGAGGATGCAGAAAAATGCATGTTGCAACAAACATGGACGCAAAATTTGCAGCATTAGTTTATCTTGCGTCTGAGGCCCCTTGAAAGCTAAAGTGGTAACTGTGCGCTCTTATTAACGTTATTACTCACATGTGCGCATGTGGTTCACATGAGTGGCTTTGAATCACTATCATTTTGCAAGCTGAGTAATCACTTGTGGGTGGAATTTTTAGGTACAGCCTAAAAAGTGCCTGCCATTTTCAAGATAGCGTAAATACGGTTAATTTTGCTGGTTTGCAGTAAACCTGCGAAGCAATGGTACTGAGTTATGGTTATATAACAAATTAAACTGCTTTAGCATATTTGACTATCTTTTGGGTCGTATGGTGTAATATTGCAAGCATTGAAATATCATCATTCAATGTTGTATTTCAGAGGTCGCGGTGGAAATAAGTAACAAAATCACTATTCATTTGGTCAAGGCTTGTGTTAAACCTTGTCCGTAGGTTTGGACCGAATCCCTAAAAATCCACGTGTGCTTAAAGTAACTACAATTTCAAGGGAGAAAGGACGATTACAAGTGACATTAGGGTGTCGAAGATACCATCCTCTTATAGAACATATCTACTTATTACAATTTCAGCCGATCACTTTTGCAATACCAAGGGAAAAGGCATGTTGAACGTTTGGGAAGTTTGACACCTAACCACACTCAACCAGAAATTAATTTTTCTCTTTCAATTGCAAAAAATAATACAACGAGTTTTATTTTTATTTGCGAAATCTTTTTGACTTGGTAGCTGAGACCCGTTTGATTCAGCAATAATCCGTCTGATAGATGTGGAAAATAATAAAGATGCTTTCGGGCAAGGTCATCATAATTTTACTATGGTTCGTGTTATGAACGCTCTCTTGCACTTTAGTGATAATGGCGTGCCGTTTTTATTCCCACGCCAAAATTTGTATCCTTACTTTAATCTCATATTTCTCAAGTAAATGCGACGCAGCGAAAGACCATAAGAAATGTTCACAAGCAACATGAATTTAAAAAAAATATATACATTTACTAATATAATTTTAATTTGTCCACTCTGAGCAGTCAATATACACAGTTGATAAATCTCTTAAGTCGAAGACAGTTGCTATTGGACTTGCCAACTGACTGACTTTATTTAAAGGCAAAGTTTAAGATCACGTGGTGAAAATTGTTACGTCAGAATCAGTTGGGGCCATTTTAGGTCTACAAACGGGTACCCAATTTATGACACCTGATCTAGAGAGGTTGAAGCAGTTCACGTAGCGCAAACGCCAATCATACATCTATCATTCAAAACTCGAATTTATGTTCTCAAAAGCATAATTTAAAATATGCTATTTCAAAACTGACTTGGTTTAGACCATGAAGGTTTCGGAAATGGGCTTCTGAATGAAAAGTTTCGGGATTACACGGTAAATCCCCACAAACTTTCCTTTGTTCGGGGATGGTCAAGAAAATTATGAAGATTCATTGAAATTTAGGTATGTTTGATACGTTAATAAATATTAATCGAAATAAGCTTTCTGAAATTGCACGAACTCTAACGTCAAAAGATGTACAAACCATGAAAAGCGGAAATTGGATGACCATGGTTTCGGTAATCAACCATCCGGCAAACGTACTACAAACCAGGACCGCTCTAAGCTGTCTTTCTAATCCTTTGATAAAGCAGGACTGAAATCCAAGTGAGAATTTATCCTTAGTATCAAGATAACTAAAGTATCTTTTCACAAATTGATTATCCTGCCAAATATCTGATTCTAGCAGACAACGAAACTTACACACGTATTTGTAAAAATTTTTTTTATTATAACTGCGATGTGCTCAACAAAATAACAAACAGTAAGCGTGCATGTGCATTCAAACAAACATTTATTAAATTCCAGTAACGAGTTTTTCTAAAATTGGCAAGCCCTTTAATCTTAATTTTTCCTGATTAGTAGCATTACTGTTTGTCAAAGAAACCACTGAATTAGCCCCCTTGTAGCAAAGTGCTCTGTTGCGAGGTTTTAGAAATGAAGGTACACAATGGAAAGGGGTTAATCTATACAAGTTCGGAAGTTATCTGCACAAAATGGTGGTTTATTTAGAAAATAGACAGAAGGTGAAATTTAAATCTGTTCACTTGATTAAAATCTAAGTTTTAACAATGGTCTACAAGATTTTAAAATACAAGGAATCGGCCTTGTCTACTGCTGCTATTAATGTTTCCGAAGAAACTGAATAGTGCATGCTTGTGGAAGTACTGGAATAAATAGATTTATGTCTGGGTGACCAAAATGCATTCCAAGGCGTTTAAGGAGTGCTCTGAGACATTCTGCTCTATTATGTAACTGCGTCATGTCATTAAAAGACAATCGTGGTTATGATTTGACATATTAGCTGAAAAATAGCTATTCTTTACTTAATCTAGATCCTGATCGGACTTTGGTGGATTTTAAAGTCTCGAACACTAGAGACCACGCAAAGGCAAGTGCACATGAATCTTTGATTTAAAGAGTTTAAGCATCATTATGAAAAAATCTCATGGTTCTACCATCGATTCGTTGCAGAACAGTGCGTTAGAATAGAGGATGGTTTATATAAAAGTAAGTTGCTTTTAGACGAATTGTAATAAAATTTGAACCACTTCATTATATTTCGCAGGATTTTCATCAAAAGTGCAATCAGAATTGTGGTTAAAGGTGAAATGCATTTCGTTGTGGCGGCGAGTAAGCATCAAGAGATTGGAAATGGTTTAGTAAAAATGGCAAATATTGGGTATTGGGGTATCGTATTTTGTAGCCTTTAATATTAGAGGAATGTTACAAAATAGATTGCAGTATTTAGTGAATAGTATTTGCTTTTACAAAACAGAGATGTTTGTTGTCTCAGATATAGAAATACAATAAGAAGATTAAGGAAACTTATTTGCTACAAAAAAACAAGCACAAACATGTTTCTAACCTGAAAATGACAATGCTGGCACCCGGTAAATTCTTATGTTACTATTAATTCCGAACCCTAGTCTAGAGCGATCTTGAGGTAAAATTGGTCCTTTTCTCTTTAATTCCTAATGATTTCTAGGGTCAATAATTGACAGATCGTTGAAGTCAAAGCTTTTACAAAATGGCGGTCCACTTCTGATTCAATTGCAGAGGTTGGAAAGCAAACGCTTTGGGGGGACTGGTTTGGCCTTTAGGGAAGGAAATTTTTGATAAGTCATAGTTGAAAAGCCTATCTAGATAGTGTACTTTAATCCCATGTGAAAGCAGGATAGGTCCAGTGGCGAACAGAAGAAGGAAAACAAATCAGATCAATAAGCCCAATGTTAAATTGAATTGAATGATATATAAAATTGTGTATGTCATTATCCAACTCATGCATGGCAAAATGATGTGGTTGCAGTAGGATCATGTGGTGTAAGGTCAATCAAATATTTTTGGCAAGGCAAGAATAAACAAAGGGACGTTTAATGACCGTGCAAATAAAACAACTAGCCATGAGCAACCAAATTTTAATTTGTTTGTGCCACATGGGTCGTTTACAAAAATCATATAGTTTTCTAGGAAAAATTGCAAAGGGGCCACAATATTTTCGACCAATAGAAGGAAGAGCGAATGCGTG